TCCATTCTAAGTGGACCGGACAGACGCTCTTCAAGGTATTGCACACGCCGTTCGTGCCTTGTGGGGAGTCGCATGAAGACAAACCTATTCCAAGGGGGGCCGACGCAGTGTCCGAACATGCGAAAGCCGCCATCATGGAGTGCCGGTCTGTTGCCGGGACGGCGACAGAAGAACAGATGAAGAGAATTGACAAAGTCGTGGCACAGATGTTTGGGGAACTCCAGGAATTCCTTCAGCAGGAAAAGAACCCTGAATCTGTTGCCGCGGTTCCCATGAAGGAAGGAAAACTTGTCGAGTTCTGCACTTTTGAGGATTCATCCTTGGGTAACACAGCTATGTCATACAACATTCCGGTGATCCGTTGCACGGAAAAGCACTTGAATGGCCTTGATGTATCAAGCTTGGAAACCTTAGAGGGAATGCTATCTTCAGGGGAAAGTCTTGACTTGTGGGGAAGCCTGCCATGCAGTCCATGGTCTCAATACCAACATCTATGTGCCCATAGGTACGGTAAGGCATACATCAGACGCCTCAAGAATGCACGTAGTATCTCCAAGAAGCTGGTAGGGAACTATTACAAACTAGCTAGGAAAGTGCATGAACAGGGGGGTCGGATTGCCTTTGAGTGGCCTAGAAATGCCACAGGATGGCAATTGCGTGAGCTGCAACGCCTTGTTCGAGACCTGAACATGTTCAGTTGCGATTTCGATGGTTGTGCAGTTGGTTGCGTGGACGCAAAAGGACTGCCGCACTTGAAGCGATGGAGGGTGGTTACCACATGCCCTCGCCTCGCCAAGGCCCTGAAATCTAAGCACTGCAGCCATCCAAAGGGTTTCAAACATGCCACTATTGAGGGCCAAGCTACACGTAAGACTGCAAGGTATCCATTCCCAATGTGTGAGCTGATATGCTCGGCATGGTACCCTGAAAAGGTATCGGGCCATGTGCCAGCAATGCCGGTTGTTGAGGTGATGCCACAATCGCACCGCGAGCGTGAAGTACTCGCACCAGCATTGGCCGCTGCGTCCGACGCCGATTCTGAGCCAGAGATGCCACCGGAGGAGTCTACCATGAGACTCAGAAGAGAAGCGCGAAGCTTCGAGCATCAGCTGCTACACGCTAAGAAAAACAACCAATGTGAGCCCTGCTTGAGAGGTAGGATGCTAAACAAGTACAAACATTCGCATCGCCCAGGCGATGATGAACCAGCAGAGTACAAGCATCCAGAATCCTTTGGCAGACTCATACAAGCAGACAACATTATTGTTTCTGCGGAACATGCGGGGATGGGAGGCGAGCAAAATGCGCTTCTAATAAGGGACCATTACTCAGGTGTGTCCATAGCATACCCACAATTAGACCGCTCAGAAGAATCCAATTACTTGTCAATGAAACACTTTGCAGGAGCTGCTTTGAACGGAGCCACAGACACGGTGTTCAAATCAGACACTGCCGGTGAGCTCACAAATGCCGCGCACCGCTTGTGTTGGACTGTTGATCCATCGTTGACAAGGGCTTGGCCGCACAATGCATCGTGTGAGAGGGACATCCGCTCCCTGAAGGAGGCTTGTAGACCATCTCACTTGCAGGCCGGGTTCTGGAGAAAGCTGTGGCCAGTGTCTCTGGCATAAACGGCAAAAGTTCGGTCGTTTTGTGAAAATGCCCCCATGAGGTAGGTGGGCCTGCGGAGGAAGCAAGAAGGGCAAGAGTAAATGGGAGGTTGCCACGGGGAAACCCTTCAATGGAACCCTCTACCCCTTGGGGGCACTTGTCTTTTATCATGCTAAGAGCAGTGATGGCATGGCAGCGCCAACCACACGCCCTGCCAGCTTTGCGGGATGGAAGATGGAGCCAGGCCTTAGACATAGGGGCGTAGTGCAAGTTCTAGACTACGAAGCTCTTAGGCAACTGTCTCATAAGTATTGGGTTCCAAAGGATGTGCATCAGAAAGAGGTTTACTTTCCACCTGTTGAATATATTGAATACCCATTACAACGTGCTGCACAAAAATCCCTTCTTGATGTTACTGATCAAATGCATGAGCTTAGGAAAGCGGAGTTTGACAGATCACTCGAAAGGGGGGTACTTCCGTATGAAGTTGCCATTGATGCGGTACCGTACTCAGGAAAGGATGGGGGAAAAGCCAGACACTCGTACATCACTTTCGGTAGGCTTATAGAGCATGGATTTACCAAAAGGTTGTGACAATGGCACCACTCGCCACTCACAAGAGTGCAGGGATCGCTTTGATAAGCTATATCCCAAGAGCTCGCCGGCGGAGACCAAACCGGAGGCGTCATCAGACGCACCTGTGCCAGAAACTCCTGTGCCCGTGCCACCAACGCCAGGTTTCGTTCCTGCGCCATCCACGCCAAAGCCTCGGATCAAGGAAGGTGATCCTGGCTACGATCCCAGATCTGAAGGGCCAGGGGATCCAGGATACATTCCGCCTTCGGCGGAGGCATCTTCCAGCAAGACTGCTGCTCACTTGAGTTGGACTTGTATGCGCTCGTAACAAAATTGCTAGATAGAAAGGAATGGATAAAAGATCCTAAAGCCGTGGCAAAAGTCAGGGAGGAATTTGACGGCTTAACCGGCAAAGACACGTGGGATCTCGACTCGGTCGATGAGCATGCCAACATCGTGCGCAATGCCAAGCTAGCCGGCAAAACTGTGCATATCGCAGACATAATGTCCATATGCAGTCGTAAGTACGATGAGCTGCCAAAAGAGTATCATCAGCTAAAAGGGAGGATAGTGTACAGAGGAGACAATGTTAAGGCGCTCTCGCCATATATCAGAGTCTGTCAGCGTCCCCGGCTACTATCACAGCCGCTAACGCTGTGATAGCCTTTGGGCAGCTCCCCGGCAGCACTACGACTAGCGCCGACGTTGTGAAAGCATATGTGCAAGCTCCGTTAGGAAGTTTGCATGAAACATGGGTGCGTTTGCCTTGGGAATTATGGCCGGAATCTTGGAAAGGTAAGTACAAGAAGCCATTGATAAGGCTACGCAAAAGCCTTTACGGGCATCCGGAGTCGGGCGCACACTGGGCTCGATATCTCGAACGGGCCGTCGTGAAGCTAGGGGGCCAGCCTGTGGATGGGCATCCTTCAACATTTTTCTTCAAGGAACGAACCTCTTGTTGACTGTTTATGTTGATGATTTGCTGCTCTCAGGAAGCATCGCTTCACACACCCCCTTTTGGGAAGAATTGGGGAAGGTTATCGAGATCGAAGATATCGGTGATTTGGGAAGGTTCCTTGGTAGGCACCACGAACTTGTCAGAGTAAATGGTAGAGAGGGCATTGCCTTTAACGTAAGGGAATACATGAAATCTGCTGTTGAAATGTACTTGAAACTCAGTGGTGCAGAGACCATTAAGGGAGCTCCAACTCCATTCCTTCCAAAGGGATCAATCCTTCCAGAGGAATGGGAGGAGAAAGGCCAGCTCGAGGAACACGCATGTGCAGTTCTCATGAAACTCCTGTGGGGGGCCCGGCTAGGCCGCCCAGATGTGCTACGGGCAATCACTCATCTTGCCACACTTGTCAGTAAGTGGAGTAAAGCATGTGATCGCATGTTGCATAGGCTCATGGCGTACGTGTCACAATCCACAGACTACACTCTGGTCGGGTACATAAATGACTCGCCGGAGGACTTGTGGCTGGAGATATACACAGATTCGGACTTCTCAGGCAGCCCTGATTGCGCTCATTCAACCAGTGGCGCATGGCTGCAGTTGCGTGGACCAAACTCTGTGTGGCCCCTTAGCTGGGCATCCAAGAAACAAACAGCAGTGTCTCGGTCAACAACAGAGGCAGAGGTCATTGCCATGGCCTTTGGTGTGTTCTCAGAGGCACTCCCCATGGAAGTGTTGTGGGGCATGGTCCTTCAGAGAGAAATTCACACTATCATCTACGAGGACAACGAGGCGACCGAGAAGATTGTACGCTCAGGGTTCAGCCAAAAGTTGAGACACATAACCCGCACTCATAAGGTTAACTTAGTGTGACGTGGTTGCATCTCCGGACCGTACCCTGAAACATGTAACATCTGTTGACCAGATCGCAGACGTGTTCACGAAAGCAGTTGAGCAGCAGGGCTGGCAAAATGCTCTCAGGTTGCTCGGCATGACCACATCCGTGCCCGAGACCGTGAGGCGTTCCATGGCCGGTTTCAAGCTGCAGCAGGATCAAAAACCACAGTAGGTTTGGCTTGTATGCTTGTAGGCCATCTTGAATCCGTGCGCAAAAGCACAGGACTTGATCGGACTCAGCATCTTGTTGAACTTGAAACGATCGTCAACCGCTGCCGTTAGGCGCGATCCAAACCGTGTGCGAAAAGACACTTGTGAGGATAACTTCGTGTGTTCGCCCGCTTGTGTCGCACCCACCGGACACCAGACCAGGGGGGTTACTTGTGAATGCATGCTAGCTGCTAACACTTGTGATCACCTTAATCGCAGGCAAGGCGAAGGACGCACGTCATGATGTGTCAGCCTACAACAACATCAGTGGTTGTGACTGCTTTGGACGCATTGACAGTTGCCACCAAGAAATTTTGCACGAACCCAGCGTACGGCTGGCAGCTCAGGCCCACTGGCAGTGTAATCGCACTGATCTACATGTAGAGAGGGGGGAGAAGAATAACATCAACTCAAATGGTCACTGGGACCATACTCTACAGTGTGATCATGTGCCCCGGAATCGCAGTGCCATAGGTTTCCATTCCTAGCCTGAACTGTTTGCATCATTACATTTGGCTCAAGGCAAAAGTCCGTGGGCGGGGGCGGGTCGAATCCCTTAAGTGTTCCTCGTTTGCGGTTGCCATAGCATACACTGGAATCTGTCACTTGACAGTTGCTTGCACGGATTGCACAACTGGGTTCAGGCGGCGGACTCTTTTCCCCTTCCAATGTCAACCAAGTAAAAGCGGACCATTTCTCTGGTGGAGTCTCCGATTTGCAGGTCCCCCGAAGCGATTTTTGTTCTCGTGAGGAGTGTGTGGGTCGCTGTGGCGGTGCCGGGCAGCGAGAAGGTCTTCCCGAGCAGCCGAGTGCAGATGGCCGGCGATTTGGCTCTTTGAAAAGCCCTTGGGTGGGTTGAAAAAGACACCAACAGGAACCGCCTTAATTTATTTACATATTTCCAGTTATGTATTTATTTATTTATTTATTCATTTATTTTTGGTGTGTTGCTTTATATATATATATATTCTAGTTTGTGGGAGGGGTCCTGATTTCGAACAGAAAAAGCAACACCGTGGTGTTTGGCTTTTGCGGTTGGCCGAACGGGAAGGAGTATGGGGTCTCCGCAGTCGCCTGGGCTCCTCGGAAGAACGAAATCTATTTTGGTCTGTCCCGAAATTTCGGATCCACAGTTGGGGATTGAATTTTCACAGACCCTCTCGATGTGCATGTCTAAGTTGATGAGAGCTTAGATATGCGGATTCCTGTCCGGATGCTTGGGGTTGGCATCTTACTTTTTCTGGGGTCTCCTCCACCAAATTGTTTATGATTTGGGGGGTTGACAAAATATGGAGCAGAATCTGAGCATGTTTTGCTGTGTCCCTTGTCTGCGTTTTGCCAAATGTTACGTCGTAGCGAGGCAGCAAGTTCCCCTTACCTCTGAGCCCTTGATGCCACAACCTTCATACGAGCCAAAAACACGTCGCCGCCTTCAAACGTGCCAAACAAATGGAAGACATCGGCCGCGCCTTTTCGCGGCGCTAAAGGCAACTACGCGACGGTGGTGGGCAGTGAGAAGGCCACCTTCTTGTCCGAGTGCTCGCAGAAGCTCTCCCCGGCCAAGTGCGTGGAGGTGTCAACACACGAAACCGCGACCGCGGGTCGGGATGGGGATGGTTGGGAGCATGTGTCGTTTGGGCGACGCACTTGGTTGGTGTCAAAATTGGGATTTGGACTCTCGAAATGTCCAAAAACACAAGCCCAAGCTCTCGGGCTTTTTGATGGGAGGCGCCGCAGTGCCATGTTTTTGTTTTCTTTTTGGTGTTGTGATGTCATGTAAAGGAGGTATTTACCATGGACAACCGATGAGTGCCTGCCAGTTCCTTTGATAGGCAGAGAGGCATTTTGGTTCCTTTGGGGTGGGGGGGCCTTCTCAAACTTTTTTTTTGGCCTGAGGGTCTCTTGCTTGAACCGGTTGGATTGGGGTTGCTGGGTTGGCAAACCGCTTGCCCCTTGAAGTTCGGACTTCCCTTGCTTCGGGGGGCCTTTGCTTCGTTCTTTTGTTGACGCTGTTTTCGATTGTTTCAAACCCCTTACATGGCATTTCTAGGCCTCGTTCAAAGTCTGCGCAGGTCCCAAACAAAAACGTGTCTTAAAGCTTTGAAGTTTCGGAGCTGAAGTAGGATTTGCTTGCATGTAGATTTCAAGTAGAACTTCTGTGGAAGTTGATATGGACACAGTTCAAGTTGAATGTTGGTTTAGTTCACTAAGACCTCCTTTCCCACTATAAGTTTAATGAAGAACCTATTAATCAGGATTCAACAAGGGACGCATATTTATTATTCATTTTGTATTTATCAGCTTGGGTAGTCATTTCTTCGAAAACAAAAACAACAAAGTTGAAGCATAATTCAAATATAACTTCAACATGATTTAGCAAGGGAAGGTTTTGTCCAAGCCCAATTGGCAATGCAGTTTGAACTTAGACTTTAATTGGAATTCCGTGCCAAATAGAACCTGACAATTCAACTAGAATCAGAATCCAACTATTCTCAACATCATAGTTTAAGTGCCAATTATCAAACCGCACAGAGGGATTCCTTTGCAAATCCAATATCGTTTTGAAAGTTAACTAATATTTGAACATGTTTTTAGTACGGCAAGAGTTCAATTAAAGTTCTACCTTAACTAGACCCTACAGGAGGGGGGCTTTCCAAATAGAACGATAATGAGGATGTCTATTTAAACATAGAACAAAAGATACAGTTTTCGCAATACAGTTTTCATACATTGACGAGGACAGAGCTGAACTAGAATTTCTATTTTAAGCTGGAGTTCAACTAGAATGTCCTTGTCATTCAATCATGAATTTCTAATGCTCTTCAGTCAGCTTTCACCTGGAATTTAAATCGGCCTTAATAAGGAAGCACTTCAATTGCAATGTGTATTTTCTAACTTAGGGGTTTTGTTGGAATTCCTTTTTAACAATTAAGCAGTGATTAGGATTTACATAGTCAACAAAGGAACTCAACATTATAAGCCGCATTAACCTTTTGTTTAATATTTACCACACACATTGCATTCCCAATAACACGTTAACAGAGAAGCAATCATAATGTCTATGGGTTTTGATACGGAAAGAGTTTTTGTCCAAATCCAATCGGACTGTATGTTAAAGGTGGACACCACCTTCTGAGCAGAAGGCTAGAGCATGCAAGTATGTTTACACTTAGCAGGGCGAAAGTCATCCCTCACAACAAATGCAGATATGCCCCTGCAAAATGCCATGTCCAAATACAAACCCGAGATACTCACTTGGAGAAACCGCGCCTAGGAACCGTCCCGTTTCCCAACCGTTGGGTGGAGGAGGTCCAAACCCACCTGTTTTATCTAAAGCAAGTGGGTATTGAAAGTAGGAAGGCGTCCGACAAAACATCCTGTTTGGTAGGGATAGTCATCAAACCATTTTGTTCCACCAGAACTTGGGTTTTCCTTAAAACTTGTTTTCCCATCGACATATCGTTTCTGATTTGAACTCACGCCCCAAATTGGTGTCTGCCGAAAGGTCCTTGAAATTCTCAGCCATGGCGTGGTTTTTCAGACTTCTGCTTGCCATGGTCGGGGTTTTTCGCCATCGGATTGAGGTAGGACAGATGTTCACCCACTCCGAACACTGCATGGGATTTTCGGTTTGAAGCAGTGTTTTCCCTAGGATGTGTGTGAACCGGGTGTTTAGCTTCAAGCATGTGTGTGTGTGTGTGTGTGTTTTCCCTAGGTTCAGCAGGTGTTTGCATCAAACAGATGTTGTGTTTTCCCCAAAAGTTAAACCAGGAGGTCTGAGGTTCCGCGCAGGTGTCGCCTGGGACGAAGACCTTCACTTTGACAGTGGAGGCGACCACTCAGGAGCAACAAACCCATGGACTGCTCCACAGGCTGGAAAGACATACCTTGATACCCGTGGCTACAAGTCAACGGATTTATAGACAATCGATCTCCAAAACCGACAAACAAAGGTCCCAGTGGGTGTGACATGTTTTCCTTTTTTCAGGGTACCCTTCTTTTTGGTGGGCCTTGGCAGGTGGGTTCAAAAACTGACACCAAGAGGACCCAATTCGAAGGTTCCACCCACAAGGCAACGCCTGCAATGCGGCAAGCGGCAACCGCTTCCGCAACGGCTCAGTCCCAAGGCTCCCCGTTTCAGTCTAAACATTCTCCACGCTTCACGTGGAGCCCATGGAGCCCTGAACGCATGTGACACGCCCATGGAACACTCATCCTAAGGAGGGGTCCCTGAAATTGCGTTGCTTCGGAGCTTTTTTTTTTTTTCTTTTTCCGGAATCGTGCTTCTCGATGGGCGAGGATTGGCTGTGGCTCAGGTCGTGTGGCCATTTGAGTTTCTGACATCCTCTATTTTTTCACTGAAAGGGAAAACCACGCCAGGTCTAGCCAGGTCATCAAATCGTGCGCTACCCCCCCGCCCCTCCGTCAAACTCCCCCAGGAGGCGCTGAACAGCGCGGTGACGGACCTGCAGAACCGGGGCGTGGACCTGCCGTCCTTCAAGCGGGCCAGCGCCTTGGCCCCCAAATGCGTCGGCACCAAGGCGCGACCAAAATCCGGGAGCAGAAAGCGGGGGGGGGGGGGTGAGTGGGGTGAAGTGGGGTGTGTGAAGCGGGGGGCGAAGAAAAGGGGGAACCACCAACAATCACTTCTTTCTTTTCTTGGGGGGGTGGGGGGCGAACTCTCCTATGTTTATGGGTACTTTGATCTTTATCTTGCATTCTCTTTTTTGGGTGAGGGGGGCAATGTCCAATGTTTTGTTGAGGATCGTTGAATCGAAGGGGGCTTAATCGAAGGGGGCTCTTTTGGAGAACAATTGAAAGAGCAATTCATTTGGCCCGGGGGATTTCAACATGGTTGTATTTGGCCAGGTTTCTCTTTGGCTTCCCCGAGTCAGTTGAAGACTTGTCACATCTTGCGGAATCATGATCACTCTGAGCGGATAAGGTGTCACTGCTTACGGAAATGCAAATGTCACTGCTTACGGAAATGCAAATGTCACTACTTACGGAAATGAAGCCACTACACGCGGAAAAGTATAGGGGTAGAAAGGTATAGGGGTAGGAAGCTCCTTTCTAAGGCTCCTTTCTAAGGCTCCTTTCTAAGGCTCCTTTCTGAGGCTCCTTTCTAAGGCTCCTTTCTAAGGCTCCTTTCTAAGGCTCCTTTCTAAGGCTCCTTTCTAAGGCTCCTTTCTAAGGCTCCTTTCTAAGGCTCCTTTCTAAGGCTCCTTTCTAAGGCTCCTTTCTAAGGCTCCTTTCTAAGGCTCCTTTCTAAGGCTCCTTTCTAAGGCTCCTTTCTAAGGCTCCTTTCTAAGGCTCCTTTCTAAGGCTCCTTTCTAAGGCTCCTTTCTAAGGCTCCTTTCCTTTCTAAGGCTCCTTTCTAAGGCTCCTTTCTAAGGCTCCTTTCTAAGGCTCCTTTCTAAGGCTCCTTTCTAAGGCTCCTTTCTAAGGCTCCTTTCTAAGGCTCCTTTCTAAGGCTCCTTTCTAAGGCTCCTTTCTAAGACTCCTTTCTAAGGCTCCTTTCTAAGGCTCCTTTCTAAGGCTCCTTTCTAAGGCTCCTTTCTAAGGCTCCTTTCTAAGGCTCCTTTCTAAGGCTCCTTTCTAAGGCTCCTTTCTAAGGCTCCTTTCTAAGGCTCCTTTCTAAGGCTCCTTGCCGGATTCCAGCTCGAAAAGCGGATCCCCAAGACAACCTTCATCACGGCCCCCTTTTCAGGAGGGATTGGCCGGGGATCCGCTTTTCGAGCTGGAATGCCGGATTCCAGCTCGAAAAGCGGATCCCCAAGACAACCTTCATCACGGCCTCTTTTCAGGAGGGATTGGCCGGGGATCCGCTTTTCGAGCTGGAATGCCGGATTCCAGCTCGAAAAGCGGATCCCCAAGACAACCTTCATCACGGCCCCCTTTTCAGGAGGGATTGGCCGGGGATCCGCTTTTCGAGCTGGAATGCCGGATTCCAGCTCGAAAAGCGGATCCCCAAGACAACCTTCATCACGGCCCCCTTTTCAGGGATCCGCTTTTGGCGGGGATCCGCTTTTCGAGCTGGAATGCCGGATTCCAGCTCGAAAAGCGGATCCCCAAGACAACCTTCATCACGGCCCCCTTTTCAGGAGGGATTGGCCGGGGATCCGCTTTTCGAGCTGGTGCCGGATTCCAGCTCGAAAAGCGGATCCCCAAGACAACCTTCATCACGGCCCCCTTTTCAGGAGGGATTGGCCGGGGATCCGCTTTTCGAGCTGGGTTGGTTCCAGCTCAGCTGGTCCCCAGACAACCTTCATCACGGCCCTTTTGGAAGGGATGGCGGGGATCCGCTTTTCGAGCTGGATGCCGGTTCCAGAAAAATGATCAGACAACCTTCATCACGGCCCCCTTTCAGGAGGGAGGGATGGGGGGGATCCGGATTCCAGCTCGAGCTGGATCCCTCAAGACAACCTTCATCACGGCCCCCTTTTCAAGAGTTGGCCGGGGATCCGCTTTTCGAGCTGGAATGCCGGATTCCAGCTCGAAAAGCGGATCCCCAAGACAACCTTCATCACGGCCCCCTTTTCAGGAGGGATTGGCCGGGGATCCGCTTTTCGAGCTGGAATGCCGGATTCCAGCTCGAAAAGCGGATCCCCAAGACAACCTTCATCACGGCCCCCTTTTCAGGAGGGATTGGCCGGGGATCCGCTTTTCGAGCTGGAATGCCGGATTCCAGCTCGAAAAGATCCCCAAGACAACCTTCATCACGGCCCCCTTTTCAGGAGGGATTGGCCGGGGATCTGCTTTTCGAGCTGGAATGCCGGATTCCAGCTCGAAAAGCGGATCCCCAAGACAACCTTCATCACGGCCCCCTTTTCAGGAGGGATTGGCCGGGGATCCGCTTTTCGAGCTGGAATGCCGGATTCCAGCTCGAAAAGCGGATCCCCAAGACAACCTTCATCACGGCCCCCTTTCAGGAGGGATTGGCCGGGGATCCGCGAGCTGGAATGCCGGATTCCAGCTCGAAAAGCGGATCCCCAAGACAACCATCACGGCCCCCCTTTTCAGGAGATTGGCCGGGGAGGGAAAAGCCGGATCCTCCAGCGCTCAAAGACAACCTTCATCACGGCCCCCTTTTCAGGAGATTGGCCGGGGATCCGCTTTTCGAGCTGGAATGCCGGATTCCAGCTCGAAAAGCGGATCCCCAAGACAACCTTCATCACGGCCCCCTTTTCAGGAGATTGGCCGATCCGACTTCATCACGGCCCCCTTTCAGGAGGGGTCCGCTTTTTCCGCAGAGACTGTGCTTTGTTTTTCCGCACATTTGGTTGTTTTTTTCCGCTCTGCGGGGTTCGCACGTTTTCCGCGCGCAGCGCCGAGCCTCAGTCAGTTGATTGATTGCTTGCTTGATTTGATTGACTGATTGGATTGGATTGGATTGGATTGGAATGGAATGGAATGGATTGGATGGATTGACTGACTGGCATTTATTGAGTTTTGCCCGGGTGTTGGTCAGGGCACTTTTAACACAATCAATCATACTTCCCTGCCACGTCCCTATACGATATGTTCCAGGGATAAGAATGCATACAAACCAAAAGATGGCTCTGCAAGGGATATGTATTCAAGAGAGATAAGGACAAATGCATCACTCACCTTCATGCCAATTTCATTGACTTGCTCTTCGGGAGTTTTTTTCTTCCGGGCACACGTAAGGAGCCCTGCTGAAGTGAGCTGGACAAAGGTCAAGTTCCCTCCCTGTTCGAACGTTCGCTTTGGGCGTATGGTGGGGGGTATAATAAACACTAAATAAGCCTATTTTTTGCAGTCTGTTTGTTTAGGGCGTTGGTTTTTGAGTCACTCACCAGACAAACTCAACAGTTCCACCAACCCCCAATGTCCATCAACAAAAGCACCGGCACATTGGCACGCAGCCTGGGTTTCATGGCGACATTCGGGTCGTCTTTTTGAGGCCAAGCCTTGCCCATAGGCCCCCCCCCCCCCATTTGTTGAACTGGCCAACCCCCGGCCCCGCCTCGCTTGTCGCCCCGCCAGGCGGCGGTCAGCTGGGGCTGCGACGAGCTAGGGTCGGACGTGTGCGACCAGAGCTACACCGAGGCCAGCGGGAAGTTCCTGCAGTGCGGCAGGAGACGGGGCACGGTGCGGATGCCCTGAAACATGTTCCCCCCATATTTCGTGGCATGTTTGTGGTCTGGGTTTGTTTTCTGCAAGAGAGGATTCCGGCTTTTTATTTTATTTTATTTTTTGAGCATGTGTGTGTGTGTGTGTAAGTTTTTGCAGAGCGGCAGGAGATTTCCTTTGGCTCAAAATTAAAGAGTCAGGGCAAACCGCAGGTTGTGGTCTTTGCTTCCATTAAGGGGCCATTTTGGGTACCATCTTTTGAGCTATAGCCAAATCCAAAGCGAAGAGTTGAAGCTGTGACTCAAGAGTCCGGGGTAGCTTCCCCATTCTTTCCAGGGATCCTTCTTTCCAGAAAACCGCAAAAAAACCCACGGAGAAACAGCTGGTTATTGAAAATAATGGAAAAGGAATCAGCGCCTGGAAAGACGCCAGGAGCGGGACCAACTGCTTGGCCGTGGGGCCGCTCTGTGCCGAGGGCTAAAAGCCCCGCGCCTCCCCGCGGACGGACGCAGTTTCCACCTGAGCCGCGGGGCGTTGCCACCGTTCCATAGGTTCCAATTGCTCGAGGCCGACGTTCCACCAGATGCGCGCGGCAGAAGGTATGGAAAAAGAAGCTGTTGCCGCGCGTTGTTTTCGGCAGGTTCCTGCTTTCCTACTTCCCTTGTTTCTTCTATGCCTTCTCTTCTCCTCTCCTCTCCTCTCCTCTCCTCTCCTCTCCTCTCCTCTCCTCTCCTCTCCTCTCCTCTCCTCTCCTCTCCTCTCCTCTCCTCTCCTCTCCTCTCCTTCTTCTTGTTCTACTTTTTTGTTCCAAATGACTCCTATACCCATGCTAGGCCCACCGCTTTCAACCAACCCAAAATGAACTGTTTATTTCAGAAAGGGTGTTTTGGATTTTTGGCTGCATTGGTTTCGCGGAGTTCAACTTTGTCTCGAGTACCTTGAAAGAAGACACCCATGTTTGACCCTTTTTGACCCTGTGAGCAGCCCTATAGTGCCTAACAGGAGCTTGTCACTTGCCAGTGAAATGGTCCATGGTCAAAACGCGGGATGGTCGGATTGACCCCGGAGTTGGGATTTTATGGAACAGCGGATGCTACGAACTGGGCCAAGGGGGTTCCTTTCGGTTTCCCCATCTTCTCGCCAAGGTGAAGGGTACCAACTCCGAAAAAAAACGGAGTCCACCCCCATTTAGGCCACCCACGGCTTGTACGGGTTTTGCTTTAGGAAGCTCACAGAGGACCAGTCGACCTTTTTCCTTCGAGTGATGGCCTTGAAGGTGATTCCACCTTTCAACTTGTGGTGGTCTGTGGGGCAATGGGAAACACCGCCCTTCGGGGGCTCAACCCAGGGCGTTCAACTTGAAGGGCGCCAACTCCACCCTGGGGACCCTTCGGGAGCTCAAAGCGCGGGGGAACCCCATGTGGTGTCCCTTGAAATTCCCCAAAGGGCGCCCTATGTGGAAGGGGGGAAACACCAAGGGTGGCATCGCGACGCTGTGCCAGGCAGGGTCGCCAGGTTGGGTGACGACGCTGTTGGTTTCCCAAGATCTTTGAGCTACTGTTTAACAACCGTGTCGAAAAGGAAACCGAACATTGGCCACCAACCCTGGGCGGTCAGAATAGAAATCTAGGCGAGCGAATCGATACCGGGGTCTGATGGCATAGGTCAAATCAGTTCAAATATAGGGACAACATACTTTGACAGATCTACCAATAGCTCAGATCGATGGGGTAGCTTTGCTGTATTCTGCGATTCTGCCCGTGAATCGCTACAGTATTTGGCGCTTTACTATGAACAACCCTACGTAGATTTTTAGTATAGATTGCGAGTTACCAACATCTCCATAGTTGTACGTTATGTTGCAGCCAACCCATTTTTGTTTTGCTCAAACGATAGCTAAAGAAAGCCCAACAGCTGAGTAGCAGGAAGGGGCGGTGGCATATGACCAATTCAACCAATTCTACCATAGTACCATAGGCTCGCCCATACTTTTTGCGCCCAGCCAATTTCGAGTCAACCCAGTTTTACTAAGCAGCTAAACGTAGCCCAAGACCGAGAGTCACACCGAGTGTACCTGTATTCTGAGTCAAACCAACTTTGAGTTGAGTTCAACAACTCTTTCTTAACAAACAACAACCTAAACAAACGACACACGTTTCCCTAAACTGAGTCAAAGCTGAGAAATCCAAGTTCTATTCTGAGTCAAAGCTGAGAACTCTGCGTCGAGCGGATTTTCCCTTCAGCTTCCGCGTCACGCCCTCCGGCCCCCGGTGCCAGGTCTGAGCCGCCCTCTGGACAGCGCCAGCTGGAGCCGGGAGTCCGGCTTCGGCTTTGAAGCCGCAGGCGGGAGCGATGCGTTCAAAAGCCCCCATGGCTCGATAGTGGCTGGTCAAAAATAGGGTAACCTCAAAATGGCTGACCCTGGTAAAAGGAAACGTGGACGAAGACCTGCGGTCCAATTCCTGGTGGTTTCATTTTGACCCACAGCCAAGTGATCGCCTTCTCTTCTTTAAACCTAGCTCCGCGGGTTTCCTACCATGGATACAAAAAGTGGCGAGTTCTTCTTGCCGGTGTATAACAACCCTAAAGAAGTGGGGGTTACGTTGAAGCGGGAAAGGGTGGACGGAGTGCAAAGGAATCCTCGGGTTCCTTGGTTTAGGGCTGACCTCCGCAATCTCTTTCACCAATTCTTTTTGCTCGCGGCTCTTCGGAGCAAAAACCACTGCGCATGTCCATGTGAAGGCTTTCTTGTGAAGATTTTGTCATACGTACCTGGGTGTGAAGTTTACTTGGGGACCCTTCGATGGGCATCATTTGGGTGGGAGTTATGTCCCCCTACCCACTCCTGAGGGGGCGCCCCAGTAAAATTCCTTGCCGTTGCCAGCATGTTTGCATCCCACCAACCTGATTTGGGCAGCTGCAACCTGGATCCCAGGATTCCCATTGGAAAGCTTCGAGCTGAGCTGTAGCCGTGAGTCAGGACTCCTATCAGAATGTTTGCGAACCTTTCCAGCGGACTATTTATTTTCGAATTTCAGTGACCCATCTCAGAGGCGGACATGAATCCCCGAACTTTCATGGATCAGAACGCTCCTCAAAGTTCGCGAATCCCGCCCCTTCTGTCCCTCCCGCCCCCGCCCCCCCCCCCCCCGAATTTTCATGTACCAGAACGCTCCAACCCCCGAATTTTCATGTGCCCTCACAGTTCGCAGCCTGTCGACAAGTTCCGTGGCCCTACCCGCGAGGCCTGAGCCTTCCGAGCGAGAGCCCCAGCGTCAGTCCAAGGAGCTTCAGTCCAAGGAGCCCCAGGCACGGCGATGCCCATTGGCCGGAGTTCTTGCGGAGTGTTAGCTAGGTCCCCCAGTAGTGCCGGCAGGGTTCCCCTTCCAAAAAAAGACTACAGAGAAAAAGGGTACCCTTATTCTAACCTTTCTACTGGAGCTCTGGCTAGGACGGGAGGCAGAGGATCGGCCTATGATTGGGACCCAAAGAAGACGCTGATGTATTGACATGTGTTGTTTGAGGGTATCTTGTGTAAGGTCGGTTGGAAGGAAAATAATAAGGACAACCACGTTGCCAGGCAAAAGGAGTGGCTCATCTTTTGAGTTTTCCGAAGTGAACCCACCAGTTAGGCACCTTTTGCAGAGAGGTCAACAGCAACCAAAGTGGATCGGGTTCCCTACGGCCCAAAGGTGGTGGCATGTGGTGGCTCCAGACGAATGGTGAGAGCGAGAGAGCAGAGAGCTGCAAGGCGATCGGCGCCGCGCGAGGCGCGGGAACGAGGGTGTGACGTCGCCTCTGCTTAACAAACATGTTGGAACCATTTTTTTAAACCGCCTCCCTTTGGGTTCCCTTAGGAGCCAGGGTCTTCTTTGTTGAAACACAGTTTGCCACCAATCTGCGGGAAGTCTCCCTGGCAGTGCTGCGGGTAAAAGTGCTTTCTCCATAGGGTGCCCTTGGGATACCAGCTGCCAGGCAAAAACATAGACCAAATCCCGATGATTTAGAGGAAACTCTTTTAGAAGCAGGTCCATTTTGGGTGTCTCCTGTACGGATCTCTGTTGGACCTTGGTTTCTGTTGACTCAAGCCAAGGAGCTCTCATGATGCCGGCAGGTGGACCTGTTTTGGACCGCCGGAACTCGGAATGTCTCAAAAAGGGGCGCCAAACTTGAGCATAGGTGAATCCCCGCAATCCCGTTCAAATTTGTTTCCGCCCTGACGTAAGTGGACCAACCCCCAGCATACTGCTTATGAGAACGACGCACCCAGTTCAGGTCTAGAAGATGTTGGAACTTGAAAGTGGCAACGGTTTCTAACGGTTTCTCCTTTTGGAGGAACCCCTTGCCAAAAAAGGAGCGATGGGCCCTCCTTTTTTGGTTTCAGTCGGGTCATGTGCTGGTAGACCAAACTTGTCTTAGTCAGCACTCTGGCTGAACGCTGGCAGGCGCCGCTTCTGCCGTTGAAGCGGCTTGGATGGCCCACTGTGAGAATGAGTGTTTCTCAAGATCGGATGCGGCCGCCCGACGGATGGCATTTGAGTTTCCTCTCGGTCTCCGTCATTGCAGGGCTTCCCATCCAATTTTGCAATGTGAGCAAAAGGGATCTTCTGAAACGATACGCCCCCCCCCCTTCCTCTGGCCCCAAAATAAGGGGGCATGAAGTCAACCAGGGGTTTATGGGTTTATGTTGTTTTCTGGGACACCATTTTGAGACCCCCCCCGCCCCGTTGCCCAAAAGTGAGGGGGTCCACGGTCCAACTGGTCCAACCTGCCATCTTCGGCTGAAGGGAAGCCTTGCGAGAAGAGTCGATTTCCACCCTTGGGTAGAAAGTTGGTAGGGGCCCGCCTTTTTCTTCCGGGGGCAAATTTGCTACCCTCTTGACAGAGTATTTGAAGCAGCCCTTTGGAATCCTTGTTTGTTTTTGGTTTTGTTCTTCCATGGCTTTCATTTCCTGGGTTTCAGATTGTCGCTCCAGAGTTCGCGGTTTCCGGAAGGCTTCCCGGGGATTGGGAGACCACCTGAGCTTACCGAAGAACCAGCGGCGCCTGAGGCCGCGTGCATCTCGTGGGCCCGAATCGGTGCGACGCTGGGTGGCAGACGGCGGCAGCTGATTTTTTTTCCAGTTTTGTTCAGTTCGGCCGGCCCCAGAAACCAAAGCCTCTTTAGGGGAAGTACGACCAACAGAACACGACCCCAGATTGTTTGGACGTAAACATTTCTCTTTGATCCTCCTCGATGCTGGTGGTTCGTGCATCTTTTTCACTCCCGCGCCTCCGAAAGTGCGTTTTCGCGAGGACGTTTTGGAGCGGAGTGCCTTTCCAAGCAGCTGGGCACAGACATTTGGGTGTGGCTCAAAATTAAACGATCGGAGGGGCACACCGCAGGCTTTGGTACCCATGTTTCCACTTACCCGGGCCACCCATTTTGGGAATTCCGGTTTTTTGGTTGCCACGGCCATTTCAGCGGAATGTCAAAGGGTTGGGCTACAGGACATTCCAGAGAGCTGCTGAGCTACCGCGGTTGGGAGATTTTACTGGAAGAAAAGTTGTTTCAACCTGGCCAGTTTGCGGCTTCCCAAAAGAACGGCTTGCCAGGCCGAGCTTGCTGGCTTGAAGAGACCTGCTCCAGCCTGAAAATGAGTTTCCTTAGGTTTCCTTCAAGGAAAATGGCTTTGAAAGCCGTTGGGTTCCCAGCAATGGCAGAAGACTTGTGGCTCAAAATGTTCAGGATGTTGGGGCACGCCGCAGGTTTCAGATTCTTTGGTTCCATTTGACAAAATGCAATATTTTGGCACGTTTCTTTGAGCCACAGCCACTTGTTTGGTGGCTAGGGTGATTTTCTGGAGCGGTTTGTGGGGAGCTCCTCGTGCTTTGTCCCCCTGCTTGAGGGAAAACCATGGCAGAAATTGTTTGTCCTAACATCCACCGCCGCCCCCGCCCCCCGCCCCGCCCCGGTCAGTGGTGTTTTGGAGGGGAAGACGGGACCACCATTTCCGGGGGGAGCACCTCCTTAAGGAAATGGCCGCAGAAAGAGACACGTCTTTGAGCCAAGAGCATTCCGCGGCACCGAGTGCGCGTCTTTTCATTTCTGTGCACCGTGGGTCGCCAGACTTAGCCAGGGGGAGGTACCCTTGACGCTCTTTGAAGGCACCGCTGCAGGTTGCGATGCAGATTTCCGGATTTCACTTCGGGGTTCGCGCGATTCGGCGGTGGCAATGGTCCAAAGAGGTGGTTTTCCTGTTGCTTTCCCTTCAACTCCAAACACATGTTGGAAACTCCTGGGAGCTTTCTATATTTTGTATATATGTGTGTCAAAAGCTAATTTTTGGAGCCCCAGGTTTTGGGCTTTTTTTTCCCCCTTTCCCCTCTCCAAAAGACGAGCAGTTCCGATTCAACTCCCACGGGCGGTTTTCAGCGAGCCGAGGTGTTCCGTGGCGCTGTGCTGGCGCCTGCTGCGGCCGCTCCTGGCAGCGGCGCCTTGGAATCGATGGGAGCGGTTCGCCTACAGCTACCCCCGACTTCCTGGAGGGTCGTCACTTTTTGAGGAAGACCAGCGTGGCAAACTGAAAGTTTGACAAAATCCATTTTGGGAGAACCTCCCAATGTGACACAGAAAGTTTGGACCTGTCAACCCAGGAAGGGAGTAAAAGGGAAACCCCAAAAATCCTTTTGGGGGGAGAACTCCCCCGAATCTATTTGACACACACACACACACCAGGGAAACCGCCAAGCAGTTTTTTTTTCAGGGGGGGGGGTCCGAAACCCGATTTTGACAAACCCATTTCGGGAACCTCTGGGGCTCTATATATTTTGTATGTGTGTGCCTCTATATATATATATACATACATATATATACATATATATACATATATATATATATATATATGCGTCAAATCGGGACTTGGACCCCCCCAGTGTTGTGGTGGACAGCAAGTTGCCAATTGAGGTCTCTACGACATTCCCTCAAAGGGCGCCAAGCCAAAGCAGGCTTGAGGTAGGACCGTCCCCAACAAACCCAAGGTTCTAACAAATGGTACTTCCGAAAACCAGAGTTTCTCCTCACAACGACCAAGAGAATTTTGACAATACCGTTGCGTTCCCAAATGAGGTTTTTGATGGGTGACAATTCGGGATGCGAGTATGGTGCTGTGCACCTTGGGTTGTCACCAGGTGCTTTGCTTCTTCGGCGGCGGGCTGGAGGCGGGGAACTGAACGCCCTTGGGTTCAGACAACTGGTCGTACAAAGCCACACCACAAGTACGGAACCTCAGACCACTGAAGCGCGGTGGTCTTTTGCTCCCCATATTCATTGGGCATATGCCGTCAACAGTACGGAGCCCGAACTCTTGATCCGGAATCTTGGATCGTATTTGAGGTGCAGCGGGGGAACCCCCCGAGATTCAAATGAAGATTGCCATTCCACTTTTGCAATAAATAAACTTCATCGCTCAAACTCTCCGGTTGGGTTTGTCGGTCTTTGATGTACACCCTTTTTGGGTTGGTGTTAAGGGAAGCTGGTTTCCCCACCCATTTTTTCTTGGGGCTCAACAAAAAAAGACGCGCCCAGCAAAAGGAAAGGCGCCTGCGCCGTTACAGAAGGCGCCCGCGGGAGGGCACCTTGCAGACCCATATGCTGATGCTTCAAAACGTTACCGCACCAAGGGACTTTTTAGTCTAGTTGCTGAGGGAGATGACATCTGACCATTGGGGAATTGGTTTTGACTCACTGTGACTTGCGACTTGGGTACATTACGGTACATATCAATTCATATTGACCGTCACAGCGACACAAGAAAGGTTTCAAGGGTTTTTGAAAGGTACGGTGGCTGAACCACCTGGAAGTTGCTTTCAGGAAACTAAATGCCATTGCAACCTGAGTAACCGTTGCAGGTAGTTAGATTTAGCTCGCAAATACATCAACCTAGAGGAAACCAAAGAGAATTGTTTAATGTTGGAACATGTGGAAACATGTACTGTGTAGGCAATGCTTGGCCAACATGGCGTATATGCCATTTTGGCTCAAGCATTGCCTTGGGTTTGTTGAACCCTCTGTAGTTTAAAAACACATTGCAATGGCCTCTTCGGTGTCTACCGTGTCTTCGTTCGAGTTGGTGGAGGAGCAGCAGGTCACGGAGGCGGATGTGGCGATGGCCACCCAGGAGGCGCAGGAAATGCGCGACCGGGAGGCAGCAGTGGCCGCAGGCTTGGTGTTGGCGGAACCTTCCACCCCCCCGGAGGGCACGGCAGCGGACGTGGTGGATAGCCTCTCCAAGGCCCTGGAGCACCTGCAGTTTATGCTCGACCGCCCCGAGTCCGGCAAGGGTGCCTCCGGCCCCGCGGACGAGGGTGACGTGGATATGGGCGATGCGGTACCCAGTGACGAAGCCCCGCAGGCCAAGAGGATGAAAGGATTTGTGGCGGCCTCGAAACCCAGTCACGCGGTGGAGAACAAGCTAGTCACCCTCGAACCGGTGGTGAGCAAGGCTGGTTACTTCAAGCTTCCCGCTGCTGCCGGCTTCAGCCGCGGCTTTGCTGCGGGACACAACGGTGCTGGAAATGGGGGCCCTCTTCCACAAGTTTGTCGGCAAGGGCCTCACGCAAAACTTGGTTCTCCGCATCTTGGAGGCCTATGTCCCGATGAAGATCCAGCTCCGGCGCTCGCAGTTCCAGCAAAACAAGGTGGGGATTGGCGCCCAGCGCATGCGCAGGCTGGATGCCGGGCAGGCAGACTACGACCGCATGTGCAAGTCGTGCGGCACTGGGTGGCCGGAGGCGGCCAAGCAGTGTTGGGTTTGCCCGGGCTTGGAGTCCGTTCCATACCAGGCGCCTTCGGCCACCTACAAGTCCGAGGGCATCACCTACCACTTGCGGATCTTGGACGGCAAGCCGGTCTGGTTCCAGCAGCAGGACGGGGGAAGCCAGGGTGCCTCGGACAGGAAGTTGGTGGATGGCTCCAATCTGGGAGGCCCCCACCGAAGACGGACTCTATGGACGAGATCGCGATGGCGGACGTGGTTCCCTTGGACAAGCGGGTGGACATTAGGCAGGAGATCCTCACGATGGATGCGGATGTGGAGGGCAACAAGATCCAGGACGGACCACCGGGTGCGGTCCCTCCAGGAGGCGGAGGCCCAGAGCTTCAAGCTCTACCACCCCCAGATCGATGCGGCGATCAAGAAGAAGGCGTCCTGGCCAGAAAACGGGAGTTGGCCCCGGAAGAGGTGGCGGCAAGGAAGTTGCACAAGGAGATCATCACGGACGAGCTCCTGGACAATGAGATGGCGGTCCTTGCCCCGATCCAGGAGGGCATGCAGTCCGTGCCGGCGGACGAGGTGGCAAGCGCGGGGTCCTCCGCCCTCCGGAAGGTCAACTTGGAGCGGTTCCGGGAAAAGCTCAGGGAGCAGTGGGAGGAGTGCGGACGCGGGCAAAGCACTCACGGAGGCCATGGGCTCGGTCACGGAGGCCCAGGCGGCAAACCAGCGCATCCAGGAGGCCAACCAAGCCTGGATGAAGAACCTCCCTCTCCCTCCTGGATGTGTCGGTCTGCGCACCCTGGAGAAGGGTCTCTTCTGTCCCCTGGAACTGCAGGACCCGGAGGACTTGCCACCGGCGGGGGACATCAAGGAGAAGTATATCCCCTTCATCCAGCAGTTGCGAGAGTCAAGGAATCCGGGCGGAACTGCTGGCGGAGATGCCCCCTCCAAGGGTGCCTCCGGCCCCGGACCTGGAATCGGAGGGGGCCAAGCTGGCCCTCATCCTCTGGGCTATCAAGCGGCACCAAGGCGAACTCCGGATGTTTGGGGGGGTGGAAGAAGCATGCCCATGGCCAGCTCTTCAGCCTGTCGCCGGATGAGCTCTTGGCCATAGAGAAGCGGACCTACACATCGCTCACGGCCCAGGTGGATCGTGGGGAGCAGCCCCCCCCGGAGCAGGTGGGGGGGCGTTATGGGCTGAGTACGATGGGGTCTTCTGGACCAGGCAGACTCGGACGTGGGATCTTCCGACCCTCACGGGCGTTCACATTCAGGTACATCATCTACTCGGCGTGGGCCACTTTCCCGTTGGTGGTGAAGCCGCAGCGCAGGGGGCGCAACGCCGAGGGCTCCACGTCGGACAAGTGGCTCGGCAATATCCTGCAGATGCGCAAGGAGGCGGTGCCCTTCTTCGAGAGCCTGGGCATCCCCAAGCCCAGGAACAAGACGGAGTGGACCTACGTCCTCAAGGAGATGGGCACCTTCCTGGCCGCGAAGAATTTCATCGCAAATTGCCCCACCCCGGTGATGGAGTTGCCAGTGGCACCCATCCACGACAGCAAGGCGGCGCTGCGTTTCCGGGCGATTTGCGACGAGCGGATCACCCTGCCGCTGTCCGCGCTCCGGGATTTGAGGCGGTCTACACCAAACTGGTGGCGGGGTTAAGGTGAACTGGAGGTGCAATGTGCTGCACGATTGGGTTGAGGAGACTTCTCCAGGGTGCCTCTGGCCCCAGAAGCCCCCACACAGACAAGTGGGAGTGGGTCCAGCCAGGGCACTCCAAAAGGACGGAAGCATCCTTTTCAGGTTGGGGGGGACTTCTAGGGTGCCTCCGGCCCCAGAAGCCCCCACACAGACGAGTGGGAGTGGATCCAGCCAGGGCACTCCAGAAGGATGGAAGCATCCTCCCGCCAAGGCATCCGGCAGGACACTCAGTGGGGCCCAACAGGAGTGACTCGGCCTGTCCTCTGGCCAAGTCCATGCTCCAACCGCTCTGGGCGTGGAAGATGGCTACCGCCACGGTCAAGGTGGTGAGGATGCTGGCCTTCATGCTGCACCCTCTTCAACACGCCCTTCGTTCAGTACTCCCCATATCTGCCAAAGTCGTCCTGGTGGGGGCGCAGTGATGCGAGCGCCTCAGACCAAGGACTGGCTTTTGTGGGGGGATGGCTCCAACCAGAGAAGTCAGCAGTCTTCTGGTTCCACAAGCAGATCCACCAGTGGGCATTCAAGGATGGGGATCCCAAGCGGCGAATTGCGGCACTGGAGATGCTAGGCACGCTCAGCCTCCAGGGTGAGACTCCCGGTAGGCAGTGACAACCAGGGCAACGTGATGGCAATGCTCAACCTTGGATTCAAGAAGCCCTACACCGCGGCTATCCTGATGGAGCTGGTACACAGGCATGCTCTCTGGCAGTCAATCATGTGCCTCGTGAATTCAATATGTGGGCGGACGAACTAACCCACCCTGATTTTGCAGGATTTGATCAGTCGCACAGAGTTCCGAACCGGAACTGTGTGAAGATTTTACATTTCTTCGAATCTCCTAAATGGAGATACGATTGGCCTTAGCGCGGACCCACCCAAGCTCCCGTGACCGGAGCCGGTGGGGTGCCTCCGGCCCCGGCCGAAGGGGGGCGCAATCAGTCTGCACACCGGTTATTTTCCTGTCCAGGCTTTTGAAGTGGGTGGCACGGAGGACCACCCAACCTGGAACTCATGAAAGGGAAGATGAGTCCCTGGCACCAACACAATGTTATCGCCTGCTTGTGTTGCGCCGTTTGGTCAGCTTGCATACACACCTAGAGGAAACCAAAGAAAAAACCTAGAGGAGACCAAAGGGAGACCTCAAAGGGAACCCCAGAAATGTCGCCACTTCTCCTTTGCGGAGTGTTCCCCAAAAATGTCTCCATGGAGTAAAACCCAATGAAGTGATGCCTGCAACTTTTTTCCAACCCGCGGGTGTGAGGTGCTCCTGGGCGCGTTGGAGGCCTTCCGCACCATGGGCGGCGCCGCGGTGCTGGAGCTCAGCGGCCTGCGGCGCGGGGGGAGGGGGCGGGTGAAGCGGCGGGTGGGGGCACGGTTGGGGGTGGGAGGGCGGTGTTTTTTTTTTTTTTGGGGGGGGGGCGGTTGGAGCCGTGTCCTTTTTGTTGTTGGGTACCCCTCGTTGGTTCTTTGTTGTGGCTGGTTTGGAGGTGGTTGTTTTCGTTGTTGTTGTTTGCCTCTCCCTGGAGCTTGTGTGTTGGTGGCCGTTGCTCTAGCTTCGACCCTCCCGACCAGGCAGATGCTGACAGACACGAGCACTGACAAGAAGAGACTCGGCTGCCTGAGCTGACATTCGTAGCTCCTGGCATGAGTGGAACTGCCCTTCAGCCTCAACTACTGCTTCTTGAAACATGGGGGAAAGCAGTTGTTGGAAGTGCTGGCCCTTTCCCGCTTTGTTCCCTTGAGAACGTCGTCTACTAGGGAACTGCATTGGCCGCACGAAACCCATTTCAAGTTGCTGCTAGAACATGGAGATAACTCAACTCCAATGTCTTCAGGTCACGCAATAAGTATTGACCCTGGCTCATATCGTAGATTTATGGGGGGGGGCTCGCAACTCCAGCTGATACGATCTTTTCCGCGGCCTTGCTCGGCTTCGGGGCGGAAGCGCCAATTTGCATGTGGGCAACCATGTGCCATCCAAGAACGGATTCCGTCAATGGGAGATGCCCCAACTACAGGTGCTGTGTTTGTGGGAGGGAGGGAGTAACTAGCGGGTAGAGTTGCTTTTGCCAAGACCCCAAAAACACCACGCTTGTTTGGACAGTCATTTGATTCGAGACATCTCGAGACCATGACCGCAAAGGTTGCAGTCTCTGCGGCAGATGTTTTGAGTTCCTGGACGTTATACTTCCTGGGAAGAGCTTGTTAGTGGCAAACACAGAAAACCCAAGCTGCCCCAAGCCCTACACCCGCGACAGCTTTTGCGCGAGCTGGGCTTGATCTTTTGTTTGGCAGGTCTTGGGATACTGGCTGCCAGGCAAAAAGTAGCCCAAATTCCGCTGATTTCGAGGAACCTCTTGCTAAAGCAGGTGGTTTTGGGATGTCTGCACGGAGCTCTGTTGGACCTTGCTTTCTCTTAACCCAGCAATTGATACTGTTTATCACGATGCCAACACCTGGTGAACCTATTTCGGACCGCCGAAACTTGGAATGTAGGAAGTGGATCGGCACACCGTCCCCATCGCCGAGGAGCGCGAAGCTGCTGGACACCCTGCTTTTGATGGACCCAAAGAGGCGTTCCGGTTCCATTCCGGTCCAGCTGTGGCTCTTAGATGGAGCTCCACCCGCACCGGGACCCAAGGGGTATCCAGCCGCTATTATATGTATATATAGACACCCTGGCCTTTTGGAAAAAAAACAGGAAAACGAGCACGTGTATAAGACAGGAGACATATTTTGGGCCCATGGCCTGTTTGTTTTGCTCCACCCGTCTCTCTCAAAATCGAGACCGTCCAGGGAACCACCATCCGTAAACGAAGGGGCAGCCGGAAATGTTTCGACACCCAACAAGAAAGCCAAAGAGGTTTTTATTTTCCACGGAAACAGCTCAAAGAGTTGTTTTTTGGCATGCTTTCTTCAGCACACGTTGTTTTCTGTGCCGAAAAGGTTGGAATCGGCGGCGGCTTCGCTGTGGCTGGCGTCGCTGGCGCTGCTCTGCGCTGTCAAGCTCCGGTTTGTGCGGACCGCGGCTCGGGGAGATGGGGGTGGGGTGAGGCTTCGGTGGCTTCGGGCGGACGCGTCGGGCGGCGGGCGGGGTGACCCGCTGGGGGAACTTGGGGGGCCCGAAAAGGGTTTTTGTTGGTGTGTTTGGGGATAGGGTTTAGAATAACAAGGGGTTCTTCGGGTTAATCAAAGGAATACCACACTACTCGTACAAATTGGTTCGGCACTCCCTTGGCGCGGAAATAGTGCACGTTACGGTCCTCCGGTCTGAGTGGTTGGGTAAGCTTGGAGGGCCATTCCCACGTTCCTTGCTTGGCACATGGTCGAACACCTGGGGAATTTCCATGAATTCCTGAACTTCATGGTATTGGAAATCATTAGGGGACATCTTGGTGGTTTGGAACGAATGATACGGGAACTCTGTTGGGGGAACAGAGCAGAGGATCAATAGATCAACTTTTTGACGATTGTCCTCGTGTTTGCTTTCTTGAGCTTGGGGTGTTGGCCCTCATTCTTTGGGTTTGGTACCTGGGCCTTCTGGAAATGGGACCCCCTTTCTGGCGCAACGACACCAGGGTCATGGTCGCTGTTTTCGACCCAGTTGGACCCGGACCTTAGAGCGAGCCGTCACGGCAGACTAGAGATGGCTCTGAAAATGGTGGAAGTGGTGTTTCGTGCTGAGGTGAAATGTTTGGCAGTGAAAGAGATAGAACTGAGCAGGCACACCTCGCTTCAGAACCCCTCACGTGTTTCCTCTCTTTTGAGCTCTTGGCCCCAGCGCCTGGAGAAACTTGGGCTTGAAGAAGGAAACGAACACAACGGGGCCGAACACTGCGGCAGCGGACGCTGCGGCATGCGAGCGATTCATCACAAAGTGGATTAAGAAGTTTAAGAAAGGGTGCCACAAATGTGCAGAGCTAGGTCATGCCGAGGCCTCCATGCAACTTGACGCAGATAAGATGCTGTTTCTTGGCGACGACATTGCCTTAGAACAAGTGGCCGAAAGAGTGGCGGACCGTCTCCGAGACATGGGCGGCATGGTGGAAGTCATGGGGCCTGTTTCTAGACGTACCAGCAGGATCACTGCCTTCTGGGACCAGGCAGCTCCGCCGCAGCCCGCCCGCAAGAAGCGCTGCCGCAGCCCGCCTTGCCGCGGTCACTCGGGCAGCTGCCCGATCTGCATGGAGACGCAGCCTGTGGTGGCACTGGTGCCGTGCGGCCACGTGATTTGCGGCGCCTGCCAGAAGAGCCACAAGTTCGGCCTCGAGGCGAAGCAGTGCCCCTTGTGCCGGGATCCCGTCACCGGTGCAACCAAAGGCCTGTTCCTCCAGTGAGCCAGAGAATACGGATCAATTTGCACTGAATCCGTTGGTGAACAAACGCACAGATTGCTACGTGTTAGTTATTCACGTGCCAATGAGGGCGGATGCTGGTTAGGCGGAAGTACCTGCAAGATCAGGGCCAGCCCTGGCCCTGATATATTTTAAGGCAGCATTTTAAGGCAGCCACGGCAGAATCGCTCTCAATCACTCGCCTCATCGCGCCACCGTGGATATGACGTGCGCATGGATCGGATGTCAGAGAGCGCCGCAGAGAAAGAGCGGCAAACCGGCAAGACCATGAATCAGCTAGAAGGTGTTTTCTCAACGCACTCGTCTACTACGTTGTCGGTAAACTGGCATTCTGACAGCAAACAACCCGCCAGGTGCCCAACAACACGCTGTTTGGGGACCCCTCCCCCCAATCACAAGGCCCCTCATTTTGCCAAGCTTTTCGTATGCAGAACTGTGCAACGATCTTTCATCAACACCCCCTGGTTCAGTGGCAGCTAACTCTCTTGTTGGGTGTTTTGCCACGAGAATGGTCAAGTCCAAATGGGATCCCTTTGTCTTCGTGAGTCACTGGGCAACTGGGCAGTCCCCACAAGCGGCGAACGAGAATCTCACCCAAATGCTTAGGGTTCATGACGGCACACCTTGAGGACTGCCACGCTTGACACCCTGAGTCACTCTGTACTTGTGATCACTTTGATATCATCCGTTTGGACTCACACCTTCGCATCGCCATTGCCACTTGATCATTGACTTCTTATCCATCTCTGGACTCACATTGTCTTTCATCAACGCTCGAGGCCCCCCCCACCCGAAAACCCCCGGCCGGTCTTAAGCCCACTTCATTTTGACTCAAACTTCACAGGAGCCCACACCAAAAAAAACACACCCTCCCCAAAAAGGTTCCAATTCTTGGAGTAGTGCCGTCTTTTTGGGACACTTTTGGACCCATACGCATCCCTGCAGAGTTTTCATCGCCTTTTTCCAGCATCTGCGCTTAGGTCTCAGTCAGAGTTTCAGCCCGGGCATCCTCGTAGCTCCCCCCTGGCTTTTCGCTTTGGACTCGTCTGCCCTCGTTAGGTCTCCGCCAGAGTTTCAGATCCCCGCCTCGTAAGGTCGCCTTCGCCTTGGCCTTCGCCGACATGGCGGGCCTCTTGGCGCGGCTGCTGCGCCCGCTGCCGCGGCTGCTGCGCCGCAAACTGCGGCGCCGGCCGGAGGCGGAGGCGGAGGCGGAGGTGTGGGGGCCGTGGGCGACGTGGCAAGAGAGGGAGGGGGGGCGGGGGAAGTGAGGGAGTTGGGGGTTGCCCGTGTTTCCCGTCTTCTTTGTGGGGGTTTGCATGTAAAAGGGGGGGGGGGGTGGAGTGCGGGAAACCATTTTTTCGGGGGTGGACAGGGTCCCCGTCTTCTTTTTGGGTTTGTGTGTGGGGGGGTGGGAGCCATTTTGTTGGGTGGTGCGGGGGCTTGCGTCCTATCCTAGTTGGTCCCAGTTGGAGACCACAATTGGCGGACGGCTGGGGATGGAAAAGAGGGGACAGAAAAAAAAGCAGGACTTGGACCTGAACGACTCTACGCTAGTCTTCTCCAGAGCAGTTTTGGGTGTGTTGTTTTTTGGGCTACCCTGTTGGCTGTGCAAGAGGGAGGCCACGAGGAAGCCGCCCATTGTCGGGGGTCCGCTTTGAGTCAACCCCTAGGTTCTTCGTGTGGCAAGCGCCCAAGCACGACTTCCGACCTAAGAGATGATTGGGCCCACCCAGGGGTGGTCGGGTTCAAGTCATACCCCAAAACACCCGCCTGAGGCGGAGACCATCACGGATTCCCTGCTCAAGGCGGGTCCTGTGTGGTGGTCCGATCGGGGTTCATGTGACCACAGGAGGCGGTTTGTTGACTGGCCTGTGAATGGGTTCATGTTGGGGACCCCTCAGCGAATGCTGAATTTGCATTTGTGAAAGCGGCAACCAAGCGCCAGTAGCGGAGGGGGGTCCAACCTATTTCGGCTGGTGGAGAACTTTTATGAGGGTATAGTCCATTTTGGAGTTGACACTCTCTTTTTGGGGCTGTTCAAAGTGGAAACCAGAGGAACACTGAGACATTCCAAGAATTCTGCTGACAAGCCAAATGTCCCATTTTGTGATAACCCGCCATGTCGATTTCAAGCGGAAGCCACAGCAACCCGGCGCCTTTCCATTTTTGGGATTGGGCTGTCGCATCCTATTTGGCGACTTACTTTTTGCCAGAAGGAAGTCATCAGTTCCTGTGACCGTTTCAAAGTCAGCTGAAGCTTGTTTCCCTTGAACCTCCCACTTGGGGACCCACCCACCTTCCCAGCCCCCCGGCCGGCTGTGGGTCTTCCAGGCGTTGGCGCTCGCGGCGGTGTGCCTGATGCCAACTCCGGGGGTTTGGTACTCCGCGCTGCGGGGCGCGCGCCTCATGCGGCTCACGCCGCAGGAGAATCGAGCCGACGGGTTTCGGGCAATGTGGCCTCGAAGGCTTGGAAATGGCGTGTGGGCCGACTTTTAAAATGTGTAAGAATGTAATGATTCAGCCCCCATGAATTAGTCAGATCAGGGGTCTCCCATCTTGGGGGTAGCGTAGCTTCTGAATCAATTGGGACGAGCTTGTGTCCTTTTGTTGCTGACCATGACTGTGCTATGTTGACCCCCACCCCTACAGGAGCACGTTTGTAGGGCACATGACAACTGTCCTGAATCAAGTTCGATCCGCGATCTTATGGGATCATGGAACCCCTCCACGGCAAACACATGTGACGGCAAGATGGTATTTGAAACCTGAAAAGGATACCCTGATTCCAGACGAGTGAAAGTGCACTGGCACACCCCCTATGTTTGTTTCATCATCTTTCTTACCGACGGAAACAGAAATTGTGGGAAGTTCGATCACAAGCAAAAAAGTAGTTGACAACAACTCCCGGTGTACCCCCACATCACCGTTTGCAAACGGTGATTTTCCCCCAGTTTTTCAATGTTCGTGATATTCGCCCCCAATGCAAAGGCCGATTTTTCCGACGGATTGGACAAAACGCCCATTGTCCAACAACAAAAGGGCCCGGCGAAAATCCGCGGCAGGTTTTGGACCATCCAAATTTTGCCCAAACCTTTGGTCGAAAAAGGAAAAAAAAGCCTCTGCCGCGGCCTCCGGAGCTCTCCCCCCCTGGAGCCGCGCGCTCGGCTCCGCCAGGACTTGGGGCTGAAGTCCCAGTGGGCGCTGGAGTTCATGGCGCTGCTGGTGGCGGCCACTGGGATGGACCGAGGGCTCGTCCGGTTGCTTTGGGGTTGGTAGCCCAATGTGTGGGTTTTGAAGGAAAACCAAGAGGGCATCGAAGCCGTTTTTGGGGGTCCAACCTGAAAAGAATAGAACCTGATAAGGGGGGTTCGACAACCAGCGCGCTGACTTTGTTTGCGATCTTTTCTGGTTCACAGTAGGGAATGCTTTGAGGGGTGTTGGAATGAACCTGAAGATTCCCTGCAATGAAGGAGTGTGCCAATGTAGGCTTGAAAACAAAGCCACATGTCACTGTCCAAGCACCCTTTCGCTTGGGCTTAGTAATGATGGTCATGGACCCCTTGATGGGAAGCCAGACAACCAAGGATTCTTTTTGTGGGAATATTTTATATTCGGTGCTTTCATGATGATCTGTTGCTCCCCCTTTGAAGCAAGCCAATAGGTTTCCCAACCAGGTGACTTATAAAAATCGATGGGTTTGGGGACCGCTTCAAACACAGGGATTCCCAATGTTTGCCGGGATTTGTGTGTGCCCGGATTTGTTTCGCTTTGCCGGACCGAAAGTCCGGCAATAGGGGAACCCGGACTGCTCAACCGCTGGCTACCAACTAATATTGGGCGCAACCCATTTTTAACAGGACCCGGATCACTTTGGGAGAAGCACAGCCCTTATAGGGTCCCTGCGGAGTTGGGCGGGCACGATTCTTCCCCGAGCTTGCCCACAATTGCAATGTGTGTGTGTGTGTGTGTTTGTGTTTTTCTGTATCTTTCTCGCTCTCCCTGTCTTTTTGTGTTTACAAGACCTGCCATCACGGACTCACTTGGAACGAGATCAAAGCATCATCACCTGCGCCATTGGGTTGCCAACTGGATGCAACCCTGGGGGTAGGGTCACAAAATTTTCCAAAGTTGCCTTGATTTCTCGGATAGGGGGGGGTGAGTCTGGTTGGTTTGTAAACGTAAGCCAAGCTTATTCAACAAACCTCTGATTGTTGTGTACCCAATCTACAACATACTTTTGTTTGATTAGATTCTGCGACAAGTTTGATGTTGACATATGCCCCCCCCCCCCCCGATGTCTTTTGGTTCACGCCAGCTGGTTCCCGGCTATGGCTTGATTCAGCCGAGGCGGCTGGGGTGTACTGGCAGCTCAGCCCCCACTTCTTCGTCCCCTCGGCGGTGGCGACGCTGCTGTGGCCCTGCCGCGAAACTGAGCGCCAGCTGGCGGTTGGGGACCTGCCGTGGGCGTGACGGGGTGACGCTGGCAGACGGGCGTGTTGTCTGTTGTAGCCCCCGAAGTGGGTGGATTTCCTGTCGGTTCCCCTTTCAAACAGTGTATGTCCAGTCGTTTTTTTTTTTTTTTTTAACCCAAAAGAGAACCCAGAAAAAAGATACACCCAAGCATTCAGCAAAGCAACTCTGGAGCCTTTGGGCCGACTTTCGGCATGTGCAAGTCCGGCGGGATGCACTGCGTGCACGCACGCATCTGCATCCGGCCGGAAAAAATGTCTTTTCACCCGGCACCACCAAGCGTCCGGAAGAAAGCGCGGACAAAGCATCGCGAGAGAATAGATCAAGCCAGAGCAGCTTGAGTGAGATGCCATGCAAACATGAGTGATTCGGCATGAGGAAGGGAGATAGAGAGAGAGAGAGAGAGAGAGAGAGAGCGAGAGAGAGAAGAAGTAAGACTACTCCAAAATGCGCAGTTTCCTCTTAGCTTTTTGAGCCAACCCTTTCCAAAGATGTCCCCCTCCACAAATGGCCCATGGGCTCCAAGGTTTAGTTCCCTTTTCATGTTAAACCAAGATTCCAGCAAGGCATACACAAACCTTTATGATCAATCTAGTAGAGCCAACAGTCACTAGCATTTGTGGGCGCTCAAATTGTCAACTCCAGAGAGAAGTTGTCAACTCCCCACTGAAAACAAGGGCAGCTTCACAAAGTGGTCAACTGCCCACTGCCAAACAGTCAAGGCTTCAGTGGGGCCCCCAAACCTTCAGCAAATTCCAAGTTCCCTGCTTGAAAAGTCCAACCCAAAGTCGACTGGTGCTCCAGAGGCTTCCAACTGGTTCGGTAATTTCCTGCAAAAACTCAACCAACTGGAAAACCATTGGTTTCCCTCAATTGCATCCAACTGGAAACCAAAGAGAAGGTTTGAGGGAAACCACAATTTTCCAATTTCCCTGCAACTGGTTTCCCTCAAACCTTCGCCATGCCTTGGAGATCCAAGCAGACGACCCGAGAGCGCCCGAGAGGAGCGGCGCTCCGAGCCGGCGAGGCTTCAGCGCCTCGAGGAGGCAGCTGGTGGCTGGAGGGGAGCCGTGAAAAAGGCTGGGGGTATTGAAAGTTTGTTTGTTTGACAGGGAAGGTAGTGAAAGATATTGAAAGTTTGTTTGTTTGACAAGGAGCGTTTTGGGGGTTACCGAAATGGAGTTCTGTAAGGACATGATAGTTTCCGTTCGAAGATCAACTAGACGAAAAAGGATGCCCACTTGTCTCCCTTGAGACCCACTGAAAGGTCTGGACTAAGTCGAAGCGCTGGTCGTATTCGTTTTTTTTTTCTTGACTTTGGTAAATCATGAACTCACTCCCCTGTTTCTGGACCCCACACCTTTTCTCAACCGGAGCAACAGGTGTTTGTACTGCTTGGTTTTCCAGAGAATCATAAGCGGAGCTTACATAAACTTGAATCATGTTGGTAGAACCACAAGTCATGCTCTTGGTACCTCACTCCTTGAGTTTCCGGACTTGCTTTTGTGGCGTATACATATATATACTGTCCTGGACAGATATATATATATATATATATAAGATGTATATATTTATATGTATATTTATTTGTGTTTACATGTATTTGCATGTATATGTATGTAGTATAAATATACATATCTGCGACCCTCTGCGAGGCGCTGGCCGAAGCACCAGGCGCGGAGTGACGATTGGCTGTGTTCGGATCGGGAAGCCGTGGATGGATGGTTCTTCTAGACGCGTTTCTTCCAAACACAAATTGATCTTGTAAAGCTTGGATCCATCAATCTATGTTTCTTCCATCCTCAATGTTCTTCCAAGCCCATGGAACCCAAAATTTTGGTCGGGGTTTTGGGTGTTTTGCCATAGCGGGTGGCTCTTTCCGCTCGAACTCCCGTGCTCGCCCCGGGCCTGAGCTCCTGTGGGCTTTAGAAACCCTCAGAGAAACCCTCCCCCTTTCGTGCCCTGCAGAGACAGGAGATTCCGAGTTCTGATTTTGGGCTTGCGAGATTTTCTGGGGGGGAGGGGAGTACCTTTCTGGGACCTTCAGCAGGTGGCAATGGTTTCCTTGTAGTTCCCTTTTTGGCCCTCCAAAAAAGGGCCCCCCCATATTGAGAGACCTGTAGGCCTGTGCCTTTTTGGAGTTGGAGCCTCAAAACTCCAAAACTGGGTGGATATGAACAAAGCGAATCCATGTCCACCAAAGGATCCTTGAAGTTTATGGCCCAAACATTGGCACCCCAGCACCAGGCCAGCAAGCGATCCGAGACGCTGCTCGCGCTGCAGATCTGGCGATGCAGGCGGAGCAGAAGGCCGCAATGCGACTGCTCCGAGCAGACGACGGGCGGGTGTGTTTTGTTTTTTGTGGGTCCCCGCTTTTGGTTGACCAAGCCAGAATCCTCCTCACAAAAGACACCCTCAGGTGATGTCCCCAGATCAACGCATCAATCATTGGTGGTTTGGATTGGTTGTTTGGGTATTTCAACCGCTGGTTCTTGCTGAGGGTCCATGGTGTTGGAGCAGATTTTGTTGGGCTCTTTAAAACGCAAGCCAAAGGGAAGACGAAGAATGTCCATCTTTGGCATTCCACCCCCAGAGACACACCCAAATCAGTATCCGAGTTGGTCCTTTTGACTGGAGATGCACTTTAAGCATGGTCCCCTATGTTTCCTCCCTTTGGGGGGTGGGTTGGTGCTGTAGTAAGCCTTGCGGCGTTGTACTCAGCAACAGCAAAGAAAAGAGGCAACAGGAACCTCCCCCCCCATTTTGGCGGATTTTAGGCCCATGTCCTGTACTTCTGCTAGCTGGCTCAGACTAAAGCAACACCAAAGGAAGCTGATTTTAGGCCCATGTCCTGTATTTTAGTTGGCTCCTTAGACGAAAGCAAAACACCAAAGGAAGCCAACGGAAATCCAGAGCAAACCATTTGAGCTCCCTCTGCGACAGGCTTGGGCCGCGGCCAAGGCTGCGCGAGCAGCCGCGGCTGCTGCAGGCGCAGGGGGGTTGGCGAGGTGTTCCATCGACTGGGCAACGAAACTCCGACAGGGCTAACTTGGTAGGTGCTTCCTACTACTTGGTGTACTTGAGGTTATAAGAAAGCCTATATTTAATGAAAAGCTTTAGAACCACCTTAGGACCAGACGTCAAGTTTGTTCTGGGCGCTGAGTCTCAAAGGTATTGCCCTTTCAAGGGCCCAACAATGTGTTTCTAGTTGGTACCACTTTTTAGATTAGTAAAGGGAAGCCTAGCCGTAGCCCCCTTCGTACCTATAGCCCAGAATCTCGGGTACACGCCTCTGGACCTGTGGGCTAACTGGACAAACCAGGCGCCAGGCATTTCACTTTGCAAGGCGCCCCCAGCGAGGCGGAGGATCTGGGCATGGTCCGGGCCTCGGGTTCCGGTTTTCGGTTCCGGTTTTCAAGAGCCCGAAAAGGGGTACCGTCAAGAATCGACACCCATTTTGGTGGTGGCTCTCAAAAACGCGAACTGAAGCCAACATGAACTGATGCTTGGTTTTCAACCAGGTCCTCTTTCTGATGGTTTTTGGACATGTGGTGGAGCCATATTCACGTTTTTTTTTTTTTAATGGTTTGGAATTCATTTAACAACACCGGGCCCCCCACCGCCCCCGGCACAACAAAAAAACACGTTGTCCAACAACGGTCAGGCCAATTGTCAATTTATTCACCCCAATTGGCAATTATTGTTCATCGGGGGTCAGCATTCATGTTCTCCTGTACTTACACCAAATAGCAACCCCTCAGAGAGTTCCTCGTGGAGTCAGGGAATCCATGTTGAGCTTTCTGGGCGAACGGTTTCAATTTTCAATCAGAAGCAAGCCAGAATTTGTGGTGCATACGCCAGGGGGCAAATCATACCAAGCTAGCTTCTTGGATGACTGTTGACATCGGTCCCTCAGAATACAATTGGTAGTCTATTGGGGGACAAAGGTTGGCAGATGTTCATGCGCTCCCCTGCAAGTTAACATGAGCCCAAAACACGGGCCCCAAACAAGGAGGTTCATCCAAATGGTGGATCGTTTTGTTTGGAAGCTTCATTTCAAAGTCGGTTTTTTGTTTGGCTCCTTTAAAGAGGTTGTTCCAAAGGTCCGGGAGATCCGTCTATTCCTTTCTTTTGTGTGCCTCCCGAGCGAATCTGTAGGTGCGGCCAGTGTATTGCACCCGTGAGCGAACGGGTCTTGAGGACTGGGCGGCCTGGACAGCGGGCGCCGAGATCGATCACAGCTGGGGACCACGGAGAGGTTGGCTGTGGCGTTTTCATTTTTCGAGTTCACCTTCCGCGAGCTTTTGGTCTAAGGCTTGCCAACGATCTAGCTCGGCCATCTGCAGACTTCACGGGTCTACTGATGGGTTCTGGGTGAATCGCTTTCGTGGTTGGCTTCTCTGCGACAAAAAATGAGGGGCCGTTATGTTTTGGTGCCTAGAAAGGTGTGCTACGGTGTTTGGTGCTTGGCTTTTCCTGTTGGCTTTGGGTGCTGGGTGGCGAATACCTATCTGGGCCAAACACAACTTTCAACTTTTGGAGCATCCCATGCGCACAAGGGTCGCCTTTTCGCGCAGGATCATATGGGCTTGTCTTGTTCTTTTTTTTGGGGGGGGACCCTTAAAAAGGGTCTTGTTCCTTTTGGCTTCCTTTTGAAAACACCAAGAAGGGGGTTTCCGGGCTTCCCTATGTGGAGCAAAGGCAAAGAAGAAGTTGAGCCTCTATGTTCAGGCGTTTTGGCTCGGTCAGCCAATATTGTTGATTAAAAGGAAGCTGCACGGAAGTGGGTGTTTGCCGAAAATCTGTCCAGGCCCCCTGCAGGTCAAACGACCTCAACAAGAGGTACCTTACACAGTATTTGGGAACAGATTCTAATTATTTGCCAAGGGGAGAGAAGGAGCGCCGTTTTTTTTGGTTGCCCGCACCAAAGAAAAAGCAAAAACACGGCGACCAGTGGCAAGTGCGAGCTCCGAGCGGATGGCTGCGGACGCCATCCTGAAAGTGGGTACATTGTAGGCGTGTCAATGCTGAGGCCAGGGCAATACAGAACACAACCTGTCAACCCACACAGTGTACCAATAGTCAAGCGGCAGCGCGGCAGATTTTGCGATTTCGCTAGCCAACAGGCAGAGAACATGGTATGGGCAGGATCAGGTTGCCTTCTTCACTCTTGTTTGCAAACTAAGCAATATGTCTCAACCTGGTCCACCGCATTGGTTTGTGATGAATCGCAACACTATGCCATTTGCTTTCGAAGCGCATCGCAACGGGTCGAGACACCTTGTTAGGTTGTGTACACCTGCAGATCGAACGAGAGAGAGAGGGAGGGAGGAAGGGAGGAAGGGAGGAAGGGAGGAAGGGAGGAAGGGAGGAAGGGAGTAAGGGAGGAAGGGAGGAAGTGAGGAAGGGAGGAAGGGAGGGAGGGAGAGAGAAAGGTGCCAGAAACCGCGGAAAACCCGCATGTCACAACAGAAGTGACTGAACAGCAAAGGTAAGCCAAGCATTTCTATCACAGCCCTTCCGGTGCAACCCAGGTTGATTTCAATGGGAGCCCAGGAAGGACCATTTAGGGGATCAGATCCGGGTTCGACATTTGAGTGTCCAACTTCCGGCACCGTCGAACACCTCTAAATGGATCGCTCCCGCCTTCCAGTTTTGATTGTGTGCGTGTCCTGCTTTTGTCCAGTAAACTCCTACCACCAGAGACACCTCCATCTTTGGTCTTGCTTTGTTTGTCCAAAGGACCCTGTGTCTCAGGCACCCCTTAGTTGGTGCTTTGAATTGTGGTTTGAGGATTTGAACTCCTTGCTAGAGGGTAAATCCACCAAACCTCCAAACGAATTGTAGTTTTGAACTCCTTGCTAGAGGGTAAATCCACCAAACCTCCAAACTACAAATAGGGAAGCTGAGTGTTTGGGGGGTGCCGTGTGACCAGGTGCCTTGGGTGGGTGGTCTGCTTGGTCCCAAGAGCCTCGTCTACTCGACGGCTCAGGCCACACCTCGCAAGGCCTGGGCCGCACGCTGTGGGCCCGCGCCGGCCGGGTGCTGGCGTGCCTGGCGCCCTCCTGGCGCATGCGCGGGGCTCAGTGAGGTGGCTGCGGTGGCGCGCTTCTTGGCGCGGCCCGAGCCCCAAGCGATTGGCCCTGGTGGGTCTTCCCTTTTTTTTTTTTTTCTTTTTTTTTTTTTTTTTAACGGGTGTTTCTAGTGAATCCTACTGAAATCTGTATAAGGCATCTTGGTAGAACTACAGGTCAATGGCGGAAGCTTGGTTGATGTGTGTTTGTTTGAAATGGGAAAGCGTGTGCAGTAGGGATCTCGCGCGAGTAGTCCTCGTCAGAGGTCAGAGCAATCACGCGTTTGGGACCATTGTCGGGGCTTTGGGATCTGAATCAGGGCTCCTTGAAAGATACATTTTGCCCATTTGAAACATGGCTTTTTCCACCAAAATAAAGGGAAACCGCCATTTACAAGGCGTTCAGGTGTTTCTATTGTAAGAATCCTGCTGAACAGCACCATTAAAACCAGGCGGGGGACATGGGGGTGATTGGGGGTGGTGTTGGGATGTGGGTGTATCACCTGCCTCCTGAAAAGTATTTATTCTCCCATTAACCCCTGCGTGTGGTTTGGATTCGTAGTGGTGTGGGGTATATTTGTGACTCTCCACTTAAAAACAAATCGGGTGTGTGTGCCTATGCTCTTCCTTCTCCCAAACCAACGAGGGTGTCTTTGGTTAGACCCACCAAAGTGGTGGTCTTCCTGTTGCTTTTTCGCATACCAACCAAAACACCCTCCCATCCACATGGAACCTCACAGAGCAGCAAAGCCTGGAAGACCACGTTCTTTTCCAGGCACGTCAAACCTCTCAGGATAATTCCTGGAAGCCGACTTTCCTTTGACAGGCACATCAAACCTCACAGAGTCCTTTCCTTTGACAGGCGCCATTCAGCCGGTGGGTCCTACGTTGGGCCTTCCGAGTTGACCGTCAAATGGTAGCCTATCCACATTTGTTACCTCACAGAACAAACTCCTGCAGACCACTTTCCTTGCATCGGCGCTATTTTGTTCCGTGTCGCTGGGCCAGACCCTCAGAACAAACCGCCAGTCGTCCGGCCGAGCGCGAACGAGCGGGGCCCGAGGTCTCTGGGCGCTTCGCAGGCGCCCGAGGTGGTCCTCACCTGGGAGACGGGGCCGCCCTCCAGGCGCAGAGCCTTTGGGCCACAAATGGAGGGCCAAAGGGAGGCCTTGGACATCCCGTAGGAGGTGGTTCAAAGGGACACCAAGCCGGATTTTTTTGTCAAAGGGAAGCCAAAACGGAATTGGTTCAAAGGGAAGCCAAAACGGAATTGGTTCAAAGGGAAACCCAAAGGAGGTTGTTGAAGCAACATATGGCTTGAGCATGCTTGAGCAAGGCCTGGAATCGCTGGAGCCGTTTGTGAAAAGGGGACGGTGGTTGGCGAGCTGTCGAAGCCCTTAGACGAGGGAAGAGGTAGGACCAGCTCGACTTTTCCGGGGTGAGCACCTTTGAAGTAGTTCAACTAGGGGATCAGGTAGCAAGATTGACTTCGGCACCCCCAAAACACCGGGGCATTGCCTCCTGCTTGGGACCAGAAATTCTAAAGGGTTTCCTTTTTCGCCTCCGAGAAAAGAAAATAAAAACTAGCCAAAATGAGTCGTCCGAGCCAAATGTGTTGTTTTCTTCCATACTTGGGGACCCGAAATCCCATATTCTGTCCGGACATCTTTTTGTTTTGACAGCCTCCCGAAGTGGTCGCACCTTTGTGCCTGCGCAACTTCGAAAGGAAACCACATCAAAAAATGGATGGCTTCTCTCAGAACGGGGGGTCATTCCAATTCTCCATTCTTAGAGGATGGTTCTTTCCCGGGTTCATTCCAATTCTTCTGGGGGTTGATTGCCCATTTTTTTCAACCATCGTTCTTTCCAACAACCGGCCCTTCTCCCTGGGTTTCCGGAGGGTTTCTAAAAAGAAAAGGATCCCAAGGCACCCCTAGAGCCATACAAGGAAGCCTGCAGGTGGTGCATTCTTGTTTGAACATCTCATGGAGTTTGCTTTTTGGAAGGGCTACAACTGGCCCTTCGAATTTTTCGCCTTCCCCCAGCCAAAGCGCACCAAGCGGCTCGCAGCGAGTGGAGCGACGGGACTCGAGGTGCTTCACCTTCGACGGCGCCGTCGGGGAGCTGTCCATCCGCTTCTGGCAGCCGCTGCGCCCCAGCCACGTGGCCGCGGCCTCGGAAACGGAGCGGAAAGCTCATGGATTGGAGTCCAACGAGCAAAAATATAGTCGTATATCTCTCTCTCTCTCTCTATAGATGTTATGATTATATGATGTATATATATATATACACATAATGTGCATATTATATATATATATATACATATAATGTGTATGTTTGTATCTACAAACGAGATGTATACGTATTGCATTCCGACAGTTCTCCAACTAACAAAAAGTGCCTAAGTCACGAGTATTGTCCAACACTACATGCAATTATATCTATATATATATACACACGTATATTCCAACAATTGTCCAACTACTACTACTACTACTACTACTACTACTACTACTACTACTACTACTACTACTACTACTACTACTACTACTACTACTAATACTATTCCTATGATACTGGCTCAAGTTGGTTTTAACCTACCCTACAACCCCATTCTTGTTGTTTAGCCCGTCATATTGCCTCAACGGTTGAGAAGGAGGGGGACATCCCCTCCCCTTTAAGTCCGACTTGTTGCAAGTTGCATGTTTCAGTAGGTGTCTTTTGTTTGACAGCCACCTGTTGATGAGTAGCTCCCTTTGTTCACTTCGAGTGACCTGCCTCAGCGTGGCTCACTTAGCTGCTGGGTTAGGATCGAAATTCTTTGTGCAAGGCTCCACATCTAACGGGAACTCTTTTTGTACATGGTTTCTTTTCGAGTGTGAATAGATAATGTAGAGCTAGCGGGTGGCCCTGAAAAGTGCCAGTTAGGGTGGGGATATGGGGGATCGACACCAACAGAATCCCCGACCTCCCCATCAGCAGGTTCTAGCGCACCTGCTGTAAAGCCAATTTTTGCGATTTTTGCAGTGGGCTGATGTTTGCAGCTTGGACACATCGTCGGACTCCTATTGGAGTGGTTTGCCTTTGGCGAGTCGCCGGTGTCATCCGCCGAAACCGGCTCAAGCCTGGTGCTTGCCGGGTAGAGTCAAACATTTTGAACACACGCAACCGCAAGCAGGAGATGTCCATGCATTCAGACAACCCTCTTTCCCACACTGCGGGACGTGCCGGGTTTTGGAGGAAGCCTCCGGAAACGTCACGTCTGCCATAACTTGGGGTATGCCTGAGCTCCGACTCGGGCCATGGAGGTGATTATTACAGGCACGGGGTCCGGGGCTTCCCTTGAAGCGGGGTTCAGGCTAAAAGGCGTCTATGTCAGAGTTCTTGGATATTCGCCGTGTGCAGGCAGGAGGGTAGGATAAACATGCAGGAGCGAATTCGGGAAACAACCTGACAGGAAAACCGGCGTCGTTACCTTGTGAAGGCGCCTTGAGTGCTTTGGGCGTGCCTTCTTTGAGTTGGAGCTCATTTTGGGTTGCTTGTAAAGGGAAACAGGGAAACCAATCATTTGGGCTCTCCTTGTTTCAAGACAAACAGATGTCCGGCTTCTGAACTAGAGTGCAATCCCAGCACGTGCGTTGCAAGTGTGAAGTGAGCAACTGCCCATGTAAGCGATGTGAATGTGAGCCTAACAGCCAGATGGCTGTAGAGAACTAGAAATGGGAACCCCAGATTAAGGAACCTTTGGTTGATTAGTAGAGTGTCCCCTTTGGGTGGAAATCCTCACTTTTGCTATCAGCTTTATAAGGAAACTCTGGAGAACGGATGAACAAGGGGTGTAAATCCGACCATGGTATGTCAGATGTTCACCAAAGGGTCCAGCCAATCAACAAAAAACTACCTCCACATATGTGCCATGCTCAAACTACCCATTCCTTGACTTAGGGTACGGATTGTCGTATCAACCTCTCCGGGGTTTTCTTGGACCAACGGTAAAGCCCAAGCTTTCCGTGGCAGGCGGGCAAGGCTTCCTGGGCCAGGAGCTCTGCAGGTGCCCCGACCGCGGGTTGGCTGATCTTGGGCTTCCCAAACCACACAAAGTCCACTTTCGAGGGTACCTTGTTGATTTGAAGGGAATACAAGGACAACCGCCTTTCCTTTTCTTGTTCGTTTTTTTTTGCGGGGGTCCCTTTAAAAGGCACACAGAAGTACCAAACGATGGGCAAAAAATCCAATTGGTTTCGTTTTCATACCCCAAGCGTCGATTTGCCGCGCGAGGTACTTGCTCCGAAAGGGCGAGTTGACAGATTCCTCGGGCCAGGTGCAGCCGATTCAGAGGCCCGGCCGATTCGATTAGCGGGCGCCGGCACTCGTCAAACACACGACTGATGCGTAGGGTGCTGTCATGAATGTCAATCTTGGACCCCACAAGTAGACATGCCTGACAATTTCTTTGGTAGTTTTCTCAATTAAAGCACTCTCCAGCGCAAACCACCACAAACAACCGCAAAAGGCTCAGCAAAGCAGAAGCCGCCGGCCATGTCCCGGATTTTTCTACTAGTTGGAAGGGCAATAGTGGGGGCAACACGGGAGGCAACACCACAACCAGCCCTTTGTGCAACAAGTTGTGTAGCAGGCCAGGAAGCTTGATGAATGGCAAGAAGTGGCTTGCTGGTTGACTTGCCTTTTAAAGTGAAAGCAGATCCGTGGTCCTCTCGTTCAGCGCGTCCTTCAGGATCACGCTGCTTGATACGCAGCCCCCGCCAAGCACCAGCATCCAAGACCCGAAGGCCAGCTTCGCTTCGCGCCAGTCGAGCCATTCAAATCGGGCATGTTGGGTCAAGAAACCGCCAACCGCTTGGGGAAACTACTACAACCGTGTTCTTTCCTGTTTTTCCGGGGGGGGGGGGGTTCTTGGGGCTCCCTTTGACATCAGCCCCAGCTTCCCATGGCCAGTCTTTTTTTTCAAAGTGGTTGTCACCATCACTTTGGAACTTTCGTTAGTCTCGAGGGTTGATGTTTAACGGGAACTATAGGGAACCCTGTGCCAGAGCCTATATCAATGGATTGGGTTAAGGGGTAGTTTTCAACCAAGTCGCTTCATAGGACTGCATTTCTGGTGAAGGTGTGGGGGTCAAGCAGAAATGGGAGGGACTTTCTGCGCTCGTTCTTCACTGTGTTGCTTCTAGGTGCTCGGATTTCAGAAAATTGTATGAGCAAGTGAAACCTAGTGTAGAGCCATCAAAGACATGGGTGGATCGTTGATGGTCCAACCTTAAAACGACCCACCCATACGGGTAGACGGTAGATGAAGGCTGGGGAGTGTCAACCAGACATAGAAGCGGCTTTCCGCATCAAGAAGCATGGATTTTTCACCTGGCACCCACCCGGACTGGAGGCTCACCAGTAGACTTTCCTGTTCGGAGAGCTGGTGGAAGCGAAAAAGAGGGCTAAGTGTTGACGCATGGCCCTCGTTTGAGCCTAGCCTTCTCTCCCTGCAACCCCGCAGAGCATGCTGGGGATGCTGGTGATGCTAGCAGGTGATGCCAGCAATGCTGCTGGTGATGCTGGTGATGCCAGCGATGCTGACTGGTGATATTGGATGCTAGTCATGTTGGCCGGTGATGATGCTAGTGATGCCAGTGATGCCATCTTGCGTGTTCCGAAACTTTGCTGGGTCCTTTTGGTTGCGCCTCTTGCCACAGACGATATTATGAATAAACTTTCTGGATTGATACTCGCGTGTTCCACTCAAATGTGTGCGAGTTCCAAGATCCCCAGCCAATATGAACATCGCTACTTCCATCTTCCACCCCCAGAAAAAAAGGGGAGACCGGAGACCAAAGCAGCCACCAAAAAGGGGGTGGGATACAGCTCACGAAAATCTCAGCCACTCCGAAAGGTGTGTGTATTTTCCCCTTTGTGATACGGCTCATTAAACCCAGCCGCCCTCCGCGAGGTGTCGTCGGTCACCGGCGACGTGGCCTCGATGGGCCCGCTGCCGGTTGGCCCATTGTCGGTCTTCCACTTGGCGGGGGCCGGAGCCCGAGTGCCGTGAGACGGTGGGTCTGTCGGGTGCGTTGTGGCTTTAAAGGGAAACCAAAGAGAAACCAATGCCATTTTTCGGGGGTCTACCAAAAAAGACCCCCAAAAGGCTTCCCCAATTTTTCGGGGGTTTCTCAAATTTAGGGTTCTTCTTGGCGGTTTGTTTTGGATTTGGATTTTTCCGCCGACGATGGGTTTTTTTGCAGAGCCGAGGTCATGAGCGGAGCCGCAGAGAAGGACTTCGACCTGGGCCACTCAGATTGATTTTTCGCTTGGTTTGAAATGACACCAGCCATAGGGAAACCACGCATGATGTGTGGTTACCTATGGCAAAACGTGGGTGTTCTACCGGAGGTGTCCTTAGGTTTGGTGGCTCCGGGTGTTCTAGCTTAGGTGTACTTTTTAGGTTGGAAATGGATGGGTTCCACTGGTTGAGATGAGTTGTTAGTTCCATGTGCCAGAAAAACTCATCTACTTTACCAGCAGGACACCTATGCCTGGGTGGTGAAGCTGGATGTGGGAAGTTCGTTTTACTTCGGCTTGGAATTGGAAGAGGGAAGCCCCACCCCCAAATTTCAGATTCCTTTGCGAGCCATGGTCACAACACAACTTGGGATGATAGGGACGGTCATGGACAATAGGACTCTGACAATGATAAGCATAAGGAAGGGAACCATGGCCGTGGCGGGCTCTGACCATGGCAAATATCTAAACAACAGATGTACGCATGGACATCAATCTTGAGAGTCGGAATCTCAAAAGTGGTCGGACATGAAATCCTTTTTTGATATCTGCCAAAGAGTCCAGGACCGGGAAGAACCAAACGCGGTACCAGCCATACCATGACCAAAAATGGTACCTTTGAGGGCCAAACAATTCGAATGAAGCTGTGGGGTGCTGTTCATGCATCATGATCATGGGAGAATCATGTTGGTAATTCTCAGATTCAGATGGAACCGTTGCCCTTAAACACATATTGGTCAGGCGTCATTGCTGTGTTTGTTTTTCCCAACGTGTCAAAGTCGGGGGTGTACATGTTAAAAGCCATGGAGCCCAAGGCTCTAGAAGGGAGAAGCTTCTTGGTGTGGTTCTTAGTTCGTTCCCCCGGGCTGGCTTCCGTTTAAGGCCGCACTTTGACTGGAGCTGGAGCGTCGCTGAATGGGCACACTCCTCCCACAGATCGATCATGAAGCCATGAAAGCCAAACCAAGCAAACAAGCAACCAAGCAAACAAGCAAACACGCAAACGCGTAAACAAACAACAAGCAAAACAAGCAAACACGCAAACAAGCAAACAAGCAAACAAGCAAACAAGCAAACAAGCAAACAAGCAAACAAGCAAACAAGCAAACAAGGAAACAAGGAAACAAGCAAACAAGCAAACAAGAAAACGGAGGGGTATTTATTTTAGGTGTTGTTTCCCGTTTTTTTTTCTTCTTTTTTTCTCGCTTTCGGCTTTTTGGCTTCTTGGCTTTTCGGCTTCTTGGCTTTTTCGGCTTCTTGGCTTTTCGGCTTCTTGGCTTCTTGACTTTTTGGCTTCTTGTTGGTTTACGTGGCTTTTGGTGGCGTTTTGGCTTTGGCTTTTCGCATCCTTTGCATTCCCAGTTCAAACCAGGTTTGCAGTTTTTCGCTGCAAACCAGGTTTGCAGCTTTTGGCTGGTTTATGCGGCTTTTTGGCTTTGGCTTTTCGCATCCTCTGCTTTCCCAGTTCCTCTCCAGTTCATTGGTTTTGAGCTTTGGCTTCCCGCATCCTCAGCATCACCAGTCCCTCCCAATTTGAATCATCACTTCTTCGAACATCATGGGGGGGGGCTGCCGCCTCCCCCCGCCACTTTGTAGATTTCTTGCAGAGATTTAATTGTTAGTTCATCACTTTTTCGAGCATCCAATTTCGCGAGAAATGCTGTAAAATACGACATTTTAGATAATCTATGTAATCTATGCAATGTATGTACGTTTGTATGTATGCACTTCTTCGAAATCATAGGGGAAGCCACCCCCGCCAACCCTCCCGCTGCTTTTTATATTCTATCGCATCACTTCTTCGAACATCATGGGAGGGGGGTGCCGCCCCCCCCACCCCCCAACCCCTCAAACATCATGGGGGGGACTGCTGCCCCCCCCCCCCCAACCCCCCCGCTCTTTTTTTAGACTTTTTGCAGAGATTTAATTGCACCCCTATTTGAATCATGACTTCTGCGAACATCATGGGGGGGCGCCTTTAGATTTGCTTTGCAGCGAGTGCCCTGCCCTCCTATTTGAATCAGTTGGTGATGGGATGTTGACGGTAGAGTAAAATACGTCAAATTTGAGAAACAATGCTGTAAAATACGACATTTTGCTGGCCCGGACGAAAAACAAAAGAAACAAACAAGGTAAATCCGCACCCCAAGAGAACACGCAAACAAACAAGCAAACAAGCAAACCAGCAAACCAGCAAACCAGCAAACAAACAAACACACAATCAAAGAAGCAAGCAAGCAAACCCGCAAATACAAGCAAGATAGAAGTCAACCCAGGCACGCCAACCTATACGGTCAGAGTTTTGTGACTGACCCACACGGCCCAAGCCGCACGACATCTGCATGTGAGCAACTGGCCTGCTGATTAGCATGAAACCCAAATTGCTCATGTCAAGAGGAAGCTCCTTTTGGAGAACCCCCAGTGTCAGGGGGAACCCTCCCACTTTTTTGTCTGAACCCCATGATTGAGAGAGCCCCCGCCTTTTTGGGATCTCCCACCCATGGTCCCATTTATTTGGAGAACCCCAAGTGCATTTGCAGAGTGGCTCAGGTTTGCGTGTGAACCTCGATGGCACCCGCAGCCTTCTGGATGCCTGTCGAGCACGAGGCGGGACTCGGGACTGCCGGTTCCTGTTTTGGGAACCGCCTCTCAAAAAGGAAATCATCGGGTTTATTGTTTGAGAGGGTTTTTTTGGAGTGATTCGTACGAAAGTTGGGCTAACCAAAGGGAAACTGGAAGATTTCCCATGTTGCGGTCTTCTGTGTGGGTGTGTCTTAAATCACGTAGGTGGCCCCCGAAAATGGCTAGTTGTCCTTTGTGGTTTCCATTGCAAACCATCCCCTAAAAAGACAAACCCACTACAGATTCACAGGTTTCGCGCCCAAGGCCCGAAGAGGCCCCAAGAGGCGCCCGCCTGGCTCGCGTGCTTCGCGTCGAGGAGCGCCGGCGCCCAAGTTCATCTTCACCTCCTCCATCGCGGTCTTCGGAGAGACCTACGGGGATGGCGCCGTAGGCCATGATCCCAACCCTTGGAACCAAAACTGGTGCCACACTGCACCCGTTTTCCAGAAACCCCCCCAACATTTTGCTTTGTTCCATGTGAGCGGCCTAATCGGCTTGATGAGGCGCTAAGTCGGCCCTGGTGGGAATTGGGGGGGGTGTCCTTTGTTGGGCGGGCGCTCCTGGACAACTGCTGGCTGTTGGTCCTACTTGGGAGGTGACACGGACAAAGTTGTTCCCAAGAACACCTACGGAATGACGAAGGCATGCGGCGAGCTGCTGGTGAATGACTACACCAGGACGGGTGCATTTGCATGCAACGTCCGGTCGTCGCATGTCGTCGCTTCCAATTGGGGAGAAGGGTCGACAGTCGGACGGAACTCCAAGTTTACCACACAAATTCATAGGCAAGTTCACTACAATTCAGCTCAAAAGACATGAATTTGTCTTCAAGTAGAACAACAAAAAACAAAGCAAACACAACACACGCAGAAGTTGGGTTGTGTGTGTTGTTTCTTGAGGTATCCCTTTTTGGGTTGGTTTGAAGGTCACACCAAAAGGACGCCCGGGGCGCTCGCTGGCTCCACACGGCCGCGGAAACGGAAACCTTTCCGCGAGGAGAGGCTTCGTGGACGGGCGCACGGGGCGGCTGCCCTCGGTGGTGGTGCGGCCGGGGAAGCCCAACGCAGCCACCACGAGCTGCTACTCAGGCGACTTCCGGCGTCCGACGCAGGAGAAGGGCCAGATTTGGGAGGGGAAATCAAGAAAAATACGACTTTTTGGGGGTGGTTGGAGGACAAATCAGGAAAAAACACGACTTCTCCTTTGGTGTGTTTTTTTTGGTGGGTGGCAAAAGGAAATGCCCTTTTTGGGGTGGTGTTGACCATGTTCAGTATTTGTTCTGGATGCTTTTTTCGTAGAGGCCTCGGCGAAGAGAAGCCAGCCGGACCTTAAACCGATCTGCCCGCCACTTTGCTTCCCGTCGGTGTCCCTAGGAACGCCTCAACCAAAAACGGCGCAGCGCGCGCCCAGATTTGTTTTGTGCGGCACTTGCCGCCGCGGGATTGAGTTTGGGCCATGACTTGGGGTACTTCAGGCTGAAGCCGTGAGCTGTGTCATCAGGGTCTCAGTTGGAGTTGGAGGTTTCCTAGCTTCCCAAAGGTTTGCTGTTCCCTAAACTGGCAGCTGTTTCGGTTTGGTTTCGTTTCCCCTCACCATCCAAGAGGGGCCAGCCTTCTTGAGAAGCTGGCGTTAATCCCAACCGCAACCCATCTCGACATTGATCCCTTTTTTGGATGGGGAGAAGCCAAAACAAAATCCAAACGTGCTCCGCATTTGCTTCTCAAAGTAAACAAATGCCTGTCTCCATTGGGTTTCCGGGTTGCCCCAAGAGGCACGATCCAAGACATCCATTTTCCGAACCCTGGGTTCCCCTGAGCCATCTGAACGAATATTTCTTCCTACCTCATGGTTGTGGTTGATCACTCGAAGTTTATCCAACCACTTTGGGATATTTTCGGGAATCTGTTTGGTTTATGTGCGGGGGTTCGGGGTTCGTCTTTGGGGTTAGGCCCCTTTTTTGTTGTATCAGAAGTGGACTCCATTTCCCACCGCCCTGTCCTGCCTTCCCAGAGATCCTCCCGGACCGAGATTTTTGATTCCTCTTGCGCGAGGCGTGATCCGGGAACCTTTGCACGGCGTGGACGTGGCTTTGCCAGTGGCGAGGCCCGGAGCCTTTGCTCCGTTGCAGCGCCCCATTTGGCTGTGGCTCAAAACGTGGAACCCGTTGCTGGGCCCCTTGGGCGGAAACAAAGACCAAAACCTGCGTACCGCCCCAGCCCTTAAGTTTTGAGCCACACTATCTGTTCGATGCCCTTGAAACACCAAGAAATGGATTCTAGCCTGAACATAGCACCCCTGGAAGATCAGTTTCCTCTCAAATGAACCCCCTGTGAGGTGCTATGTTGGTCGGAAGCATTATTTTAATTCTAGTAAACCGCTTTCTTGGTGGTTCAAAGACTGCCGCTTCCCCGAAGCGCAAAGACGCGGCAGGAATTTGCCCCATCCGGTCACCAGCACCAGGGCGCTGATTGCGAACTTGGCGCCTCGAAGCCGGAGAAGGTCTCGATTTAGTTCTCTGGGTGTGGCCTTTTCTGCGACACCAGAGGTGTCCTTTTTGGTTGGTTTTGGTAGAAAAATAGATGGGTTTCGATCCCTGGTTGAAAAGTGGTGGTTTAATATCATCTGCCAGGGAAACCCATCTATTTCCTCTAAAAGGAGACCTATGTGCGACAGGCAAATGAGTGGCTGGTGAGCAGGGAATGAAGGAATTGAGCCAGGGGATTCTCTGAAAGGAAACCAATTGGGAGGGTTTATGGGAGTCATTCCCTCGCTCCCCTATTGAGCACCAGCAAGTTAAAACCTACCCACGCATGGTACCCTCCAAAGAAGACACCCATCTGACCAAGCAGAAAGCGGTAGAGTTTCTCAAAATAGGAATCGGTCCCCCGGCAACAGTTTGCCTTTGGCCTCCGTTTAAGCACCAATCTAAGAGGGGTCCACTATTTGAGGAAGCACAAAGCTGGACAACTACAGACGGGGCTGGTTTGAAACCAAGTCATATACAAGGGGCTAGCTTATTCAAATGCGGTTGAGCATCAGAAAAAAGTGTGTGACTAGGTAGCGCTTGACATCAAGTGAGCTTAAAAAGAAAGATCGTATTGTTAGATCTACTTCGAATTGATTGTTGGAAGTCTATGTGAAGACTTGCGCGAAGGACTACATTGTAGGTCTATCGGAGCACGTCCTTGAGGAATAAGCAATGTTGGCTACATGCCATGGTTGAAACGCATCATTCTTGCCAGCCCGTTGCAGGGGAATAGGCCGTTTGTACTTTTGCTTCGTAAGGTCCATAGACCCCTTGCTTGGGCTTATGGTCATCAAGCCATGAGGATTCTTAGGGCTTTGACCTTGGCACGTGTTGGGTGTTCAACAATCGGAATTTGAAGCCTATGGGTAGGGTAAACATGGGTTTGTCACACCCCAAACAAAATATGGAGGACGAATTCATGGTGAATCCTTTGTGACATGGCTACAGCCTACCTTGCTCAAAAAGGAGGTGTGTTTTGTTTTACGCAGAGGGTATCCTTTGTATGTTTGTTCGGAGCAGGGTGAAAAGGAGATTGCAGGTATGGCAGTTCCATCCTGCCCTGTTTTAGTTATTGTCCGTTTTGGGTTTGTATCAACATGATGACCTTGGAATGCTGTTGGCAAAGGGAAACCATTGCCAGGAGGGGTCCGTGCCTCGTTTTGGGACGCGCCTCCCATTGCCAGTCCCTCTTGATTAAACTATTTGTGTCATCGGGGACGACCTAAGGTTCTAGGAAGCCAGCCCTTCCCCCGAACCCCCGAACCCCACAATCCCAGAAGCGCGCTTGCTTTCTCCGCACTTTGTGGCCTGAATCTTGCTGTGGGCTGGGTTAGGGCCGGGTGTGGGATCCAGGTCTGATCTGGGAACAGCCGCTGCGGGGGCGCGCAAAATACACAAGCCCTTTTGGGGACCCAAAACACGGCGGAAAACCCCATGCAAAGGAAGCCAGCAGCTTTTTTCCAGTGGGACCTGCAATCCCGGATTGAAACACGCAACACCTTGTATACATAGAATATGTACGCATGTATGTGTTTCCATGCCTGTGTGTGTATCTATAGCTATATGTATACATGTGTATGTATACATATGTATATATTCACACAGACACACACCTTTCTGGGACCCCCCCCCCCCAATGTGTCGCACGGCCGTTAATTTTTCAATCGTGTGATGCGAGGTGATTTTGCACCTAAATTTCAACAAGTTCTTTCGCAAACGTACCGACTCGACAAACTGATAGATCGATAGAGACAGATAGATAAATAGGTAGACGAGAGAGAGAGAGAGAGAGAGAGAGAGAGATAAAATGAAAGATAGATAAATAGAAATGTGGAAGGTGACAGATAGACAGATACATAGCAAGATAGATAGACAAATCTAAAGATAGAGAGATGGATGGATGGATGGATGGATGGATGGATGGATGGATGGATGGGATGGGATGGGATGGGATGGGATGGGATGGGATGGGATGGGATGGGATGGGATGGGATGGGATGGGATGGGATGGGATGGGATGGGATGGGATGGGATGGGATGGGATGGGATGGGATGGGATGGGATGGGATGGGATGGGATGGGATGGATGGGATGGATGGATGGATGGGATGGATGGGATGGATGGGATGGGATGGGATGGGATGGGATGGATGATGGATGGGATGGATGGGATGGATGGGATGGATGGGATGGGGGATGGGATGGGATGGGATGGGATGGGATGGGATGGGATGGGCTGGGCTGGGCTGGGCTGGGCTGGGCTGGGCTGGGCTGGGCTGGGCTGGGCTGGGCTTGATGGATGGATGGATGGATGGATGGGATGGATGGGATCGGATGGGATCGGATGGGATTGGATGGATGGATGGATGGGATGGGATGGATGGGATGGGATGGATGGGATGGATGGGATCGGATGGGATTGGATGGATGGATGGGATGGGATGGATGGGATGGGATGGGATGGGCTGGGCCGGGCTGGGCTGGGCTGGGCTGGTGGGGTTGGATGGGATGGGGAATGGGATGGGATGGGATGGATGGACGATAGATAAATAGGCAGGCAGACAGATCGATAGGTGGATAAATAGCTAGATTGGTTAGATTGACAGATAGTAAGATAGATAGACAGAAACGATCGCCAGGGTAGATAGGACAGATAGATAGGACAGATGGGATAGATAGGGATAGATATTGGATAGCTAGGATAGATCAGATAGATAGGACAAATAGGATAGATAGGCTGGACAAATAGGATAGATATTTTTAGATTGGGTGGAGTAGATGAATTAGATAGATTAGATAGGCATATTAGATGGATTAGATGGATTAGCTAGATTAGACATTAGATAGGCTAGATATGTTAGATAGATCGGTAGATCGATAGATCGATAGATCGACGATCGATGGATAGATCGATGGACAGATGGAGAGATAGGGAGATTGATAGATAGGTGGATGGATGGATACATCAATAGGCGGATAGCTAGTTCGATATGTATAGAGAAAGAAATAAAAGGGAAATAATATAATGGAGAAGAAAGAGGAAACAACATTAGAGAAAAACATAAAATTAGAGAAAGACAGAGAACGTTAAACAGAAAGACAGAAAGAAAGAACGAAAGGAAGAAAGGCAGAAAGGGAAGAAAGGCAAGAAAGGGAGGAAGGGACAAGCGAAGGAAAGGAGAAAGAAAAGAAGAAAGACAGAACCAAAGCAAGAAAGAAAGAACGACGGCAAGAAAAGACACAGTGAAAAGAAAAAAGGACAGAAAGACGAAGAGAACAAGAACGAAGAGAAGCAACGATAATAACTATAGTGTTGATATTTCTGAAACTTCCTCCAACCGGCTTCACCGGCTCTACTGGTACAAGAGTTCGAGCCCAAAGGAAACTTCCCACAAATGAATGTTTCTCGTTGAGTTGTCTGTTTCGTTTTCAGGCGGGTTGGGTGCCCAAGCCAGCCAGGGGCCCCGGCATGATCCGATTCGACATGGAAACAAACCGGCGGTCCAAAAGGAGCGATTCCTCCAAAAGCTATGCGCGTGCGGGCTGTATGTTAATCTGCGCGGGAGTAGTGCCGCAATCTGTTTTCTCTACAAAAAAGATTCACACTGAAAGGGCCTCTGTTCCTCTGTTCACCTCCCCGCCCGCTCGCCCGCCCGCCCGCCCGCCCGCCCGCCTGCCTCCCGCACGCACGCCCACGCATGCTCGCGCAACACCCAAGCATGCCAACGCCCGCCACGCACGCCCTCGCTCGCTTTCGCAAGCCAACGCCCACCCTTTCATGCACACCCGCGCACGCCCACGCACTCCCGCCAGCGCACGCCGGCGCGCCACACGCGCCTGCAGCCCACGGGCTGCACGCCCACACACCACGCCCGCCCGCTCGCCCGCCCGCACGCTCGCCGGCCTGCACGCCCGCGCCCGCGCGCGCTCGCACGCCCACGGACGCACGCACGCTTGCACGTAGGCACGACTGTCAGAGGAGATAGACAGCGTTGTTTCATCTAGGTCTCTTGCTACCAAGGCCGGCGCTGGGACAAAATCGACCCAGGCGAACAACAGGCGCAAAGCCAGAAAGAGGCCCACGCGCTAGGCTACTTGCGGGGCAAGTGGCCGGCGCTTGAGTGAGCGCCGCTGGCTATGGGCAGTGGCAAAAAAAGCGGGTGGGTAAAGGAGACATAGGGTACCCGAAGTTCTGAAGACATGGGTGAAAGTTGCTTTGATGGTGAAAGAGTCACTGATGCGATGCTCCGAGCTGTGGTTGCTGGTGGTTCGAAGTTCCATTTCCTTTTCGATCTTTGGACCTCCCCAAAGGTTCCCAGATCTCAAGTACTGGTCGTTCTCGGTCCTGGCACGCAAACAACAAGCGCAAGGCCAGAAAGCGGCCCACTTGCGGGGCAAGTGGCCGGATGTCGCAGAGCGCTTGAGTGGGCGCTTGAGGCGCGGGCGCGTGGGCCATCGTGGTCACGTTTCGGGGATCAATCGGCAGAATACATAGTTGGGACTGAGCCTTATCTATCGAGAATACGTTCTGTTTGCTTAGACATGCCCGTTCTCAAGTACTGGTCGTTCTCGGTCCTGGCACGTAACAAGCGCAAGGCCAGAAAGCGGCCCACTTGCGGGACAAGTGGCTGGATTTAGCAGAGCGCTTGAGTGAGCGCTTGAGTGAGCACGGGTGCGTGGGCCCTCATGGCCACGGTTTGGATGTTTCGGGGTCACCGTGAATCGTTGGGATTGACCCTTAGCTAGGTGGTTGGTTTCCAGGCCGATCTTGGAAATACTTTTAAGAGTTTCCAAAGTGCAACTGTTTTCACATGTGCGCATGCCCATCATGGCTTAGGAATCCCTAGGGGTTTGCAAGCGTTTGTTGAGACATCTCTCACCTGCCATTCAAGAATGTTTATGCTACCCCCATTAAATACTCAGGCTTTTGTCCAGAACTCAAGATTTTGGCCAGACTGGGGGGACTCTGTACTGAGCTGACAAGTAGCGCAACCCCATGCAAAGTCAAACCAAGCAGAAGCTAAGCTCAACGTTGAAAAGAAGCTCCTCGTTAAACAGCTCGAACGCGAAATGCACTTAAAGTCAGGTTGGAGTCTGCGAAGTGCACTTTGGCAGCCCCATGTCACAAAGCACAACTTTCAGCACAAGAGTAGCACGCGAAGCATGCTTCGCAAGCTTCATCGCGCCTAAACCAGCTATTTGGTTTGCTTGACAAGGAATCTCGGCAAATCATCCACTTGGCGGAACAATCCTACTTGCAACTGACACCCAAATCAAACATAAAAGTGCCTCATGTCCTTGCCCAGTTGCATTTACATGTTAGTTCTCTATTTGTACATAATTCCATATACATTCTATCTAAGCGTATTTAAGTCAATCTTGCAAAGCAGCTATCTCAGTTGCGCGTTACTTGTCTAGTGCGATTCAACCACTGTCAAGAAAACTATTGAAATTCAAGTAAAGCCAGAATATGCCAGTTAAAATGATTTCGAGTTCAAGCCAAATTCGGCTTTAACCGGTTGCAGTTTCTTGTGCGCTTCCAAAGTCAATAATGGAGAGCACAGCGATTGTCATGGCCAGTCAAAACTGGAACCAAGATCAACTTCATAAGGGTCATTGTCCGTATCTAACTCCGCGTGGTTTTATCCAAGCAAGAACTGCGCCAACCAATAAGGTGTTATAGTCTAGGTCCAAAAAAGAGTGCGTTCATTGAGCATCATTTTTAGAAGCTGGAAAGTGCATCTCGCATGCATATTACAGCAAACATTTCAATTCTTGAACGAAAACCTGAGTATTCCAGGGTGGGTCGGGGGTACCATATATGTGTATATATATATATAGACGTATGTGTGTATATAGCCATATATACACACCTTTTTAGCCCCCCTCCCCCCTCATTTTTCGCACGGCCTTTGTTTTTCCATCGGGCGATCTGAGGTGATTTTGCACGACGCCACGTGGCCGAAGGACCTTGGATACTAACCCAGCTACTCACAGGGCACGTGAAGGTTGGGCCGGTGGCCGTTGGATGCTTTTCCATCGGCGTTCGGGAGACCGTAGACCATTTACAACACCCTTCGCTTGGCGCCTTCCCAAGTCACATGAAATTCCTAGGCACTTACCCTCTAACCATCTCCAACCCACCAGAGAAATGGTCCCATTCCAAGGAAACTAGTCAGTGTCACTCAGTTACTCACTTCCCCTTTCGTTCTGGCGCCTTTGCTCCACTTCGTTGCAAAACTTCTGCGCTTACCCTGCTGTCATGGAACTTGGTTCAACTTCGTCTTCCAGGACTCCAGGGCTCCATGTCGGAGCCCTTTCCTTGCGGCCTTGACACGGCATTTTGGGCCGGCTTTCGGAGGTTGGTTGTGGAAACCAACGGCAAAACTGAAATCCATGTTTGGGCCATACCCGCCAGAATGCTGGTGTTCCGGTGGGTTTCAATTTTCCCCAAGCAAAAAAAACAAACCGAGAAGCGGCGAAATCGCTCCTCGGCGATGTGCCAACACGGAGCTTCGTGGAGCAGGATCTGGTGGACCGCGCCTGCAACCTGCCGTCCCGGGTGTGCACTTTGCAGCAGCTGGTGGACGCGCTCTATGCGCCCTGCCCGAAGCGAGTCTGAGAGACGAGCCTCGCGGTCTGAGAGACCTGCGTTTTTTTTTTTTTGTCTCACTTGTTTTGAGCGGAACCCTTTGTGGGGCAGTTTTTGGGCAAAGGGGCAAGACACCGAACCGCCATGTTTTTTGGCCACCTGTTTGTTGGTTGCCGAGAATCCAAAAGGTAGATTGGATAGACGAAGGTTAGTAGGGGACGGTCCCAACCAAGAGGTTGGTCACAAATTTGCGCAGACGAGACCCGATTGGGTGCCATTGCCACCAAAAGGCTGCTTCAACAATACCAGTTCGGTCTGCTACTTTGGATTCTCACACCAGTGGATGAGAGCAGCTTCAGAGGAATACGAGTATCAGCGTATCAGTGGTCTGTGGTGGCCCAATTCTGGTGGACCAATTCCAGGTGGATTGCTTTGGTCCCTCGGCCCAGGAACATGAATCGAAAGGGTCCCATGGGGTCCCTATGCGGCTGGGCCATTTCGGTTTTGTTCAGGGGTCAACGTCAGAAGGGGTGCTTTTTCAAGTACCCATTTGGGGTGACTTTGATGGAGCCAACACATTGGACCAGCTTGGACGCAGGAGAGGTGCGGACAAAAGGTCCAACTTGTCGTCTAATTGTGGTAACTCACCTGGCTATGGGTCAAACACCCGTACCAGTGAACATCCCAATCCCCGCTAAAATAGGTTCTCAAATGGGTGGTGAATTCACCTACCCCCAAAATGGGATCCCATGAGTTTTGACAACCACAGCCTGGCGTGGCGAAAGTTGGGACATGGGGACCTTCGGCGGTGGAGGCGAGCTCTTGTCTTTCACGGGATCATTTGTATTTGAAGTGTGCCAAGTCTCCGGTTTCGGTTTGCCGCGTTCTACCCGGTTTTGGCTTCTTTCAGACAATCACTGATTTGCAAAAAGGTTCCAAGCCCAGTTCCATCGCCACTTCCTGGCCGTTCGGCCCACAATTTGCCCCTGGCGCCGTTCGGCTCAGGAGGTGGTGCCGAGCTCGGAGCACGGGCGTCTGGGCAAGATCTCGGACCAGGCGACTGCCGCATCGGAGCTCCAAAACCGCTGGGGCTTTTTTTGGACCGAAGAAGAAGACCAGGGCCGCACAGCCTCACATGAAGTTGGTACTTGGGACAAAGGTTGGGAGTTCGGACTTGTTTGTTTTAAACAACTGTGGCGGGTTTCCTCTGGACAGTGGCAAAGCGGAGACAGGGAACACCGAAGCATGTCCAGTTTGGAGGAGCCATGTTGAGAACAAGACCTTTGGGTTTTGGGTATTTTTTTGGGGGGAAGTGAGTTATAGTCACAATAATGTGATTGATACTGCCTAAATTGACTGCCATAGTGAGCATAGTGGCTTAAATCTCATAGTGGCTTAAATCTCGCGTTTGGAACACCTGTGAGTCATCGACCCCTTCGGCACACTGCCATCCAGCCACCCCGCTTGGGGGACACCAAGATAGCCCAAAATCGGTCCCGTGGTGAGGTCTAGGACCTCTGAGAGCATGGCCTTTCCCAGCAGCACAGGTCCAATGGTTCACACAAGTTTATGCGGGTGTTCCCCTTTCTCGCCCAAAACATGCGGGTTTTGGTGGGGACCCCCTGAAATGCTGGCTTTCCTTTTGGCTTCCCTTTCCAAACCAACCCTACTCAAAGACAGACAAGCCTCTAAGTGTTGCTTCCCCATGCTTTCCAGGGATCCTTCTTTCTGGAAAACCACCAAACATCCAAGGGAAAACAGCTGGTTTTTGAAAAGAACCGATGGTTGAGAAGAATGGGGTATCAACCCTAGATTTGCGGGACCTGGGAAGGAACTTTATCTCCTTGGTGTATGGAAGTGCAGTTCCATTTGAGGCTTTAGCTTCGGAAATCGGAATGGAATTCCAGCTGTCCGACTTCCAACCCATTTCCGTCCGAATCCGCGTCGCCGCGTCGTCGAAAAATTTCCAGGAGGACGAGTTCCTGTCCGGCGTGGTGCGCTCCATGGGCTCCCACGTGCGGCACCAGCGCGCGGAGATGCTGAGGATGGTGGAAGTCCCGGCGCTGCCCGTGGCGGGGGGGGGGAGTTTTGGGCGGATGGGGCACGGTGGAGGTTTGGGTTTGAGTTTCGGGGGGGTTTGGAGCTTCAAGTCCGGTTCCGTTTGCTGATTGTTTTGTTTTTTTTCCCTGTTGGTCTTGGGGAAGTTGTCGCTGGACATGAGTTGCCTTTTCATGTTTCCCCGAAAAGTTTGGAGCTTGCGCCACGTGCTCGAAATCCGGGTGGATACGGATGCCAACCCTTTTAACGGCTGCCTTCGACGCCTTTCTACTTCTTTGCATCGGCTCTGGGTAGACGTTTCTTGTAACCAGCTTTTGAGTATGCAAATAGGAGGTGGGTATGGGTCAATTTTTCCACCAGACCGCAGATATTCCCTGAACATTTCGGGCACCCCATTTTGCGATGACCCTTCTTTCGATACCCACAGCCGTATCGGACCCTCTTTTAAAGGTGGGCGAAGAAAGGGGAAACCAGAAGGAAGCCAACCAGAAGGGGTTCCACGAGATTGAGATTTCCTTCCCCACAGGAAAACTTCGTCCCCCCTCCTTCCCCTCCCAAGAGGACCATGGACCGCCAACAACTTGACCGAACCTATGAAACCCAAAAATGGTTGGTGTCCATTTGGCTGAGGAGGCTCTTGCCGAGTGCAATCAACAAATCTATCTGATGTTTGGTGTGTGAGATGTGGTAGTTATGCCCAGGTGCCGAAGCCACGTTTGGTTTGTCGTCTATGGACATGGGTTTAAATGAAAGAGACTTCTCACGCTCGTCACCTGACCTTCTGGTTCCAGGTTTTTCTTTCCGAGTTGCTTTTGGGCACCCCCTGTTTTTCATAGGGTCATTTTCAGGGTGGACCCTTCCCTGCAAGAGAGGTAGAGCTTTGCTTAGCGGCAGGTGGTGCAGGAGTTCCTCGAGGACTTCGGGGAGAAGACGGTGGTTTCGAACAAGCGCCAGCGAGTGGCGTGAGACAAAGGGCGCTTGCGCAATCGCCCCGCGCAAACGCCGCGCAACCGAGCGTGGCATGCATGCCTGTGGTTTGCTTCTTCTTTTTCCCCGACCAGGAGACTGGTGCAGGATAAATATTTGGGGTGCTCCATCTTCTGGGTGTTTTTCAAAACGTCGCAGGAAGTTGCGTTTTCTCCCGGAGCGAGAAGCCGATCCCACTTTGAATGGATGAATCAACCAGGAAGGGGTCCAGCACCTGTTAGTTACATCATTGTTTGGCCAATTTGATTGAGTCTCCTCTTGGAATATGAGATGTGGCCCCTTGTCTGTTTTTCTCTTTTGGTGTCTGACTTTCGCCAATCATTTTAGGGGCTCCGAAATCCATTTCACGCGACACCTCCATTTGTGTGCCTCGTTTTCTGTTGAGTTTGGCTTTCCCCATGTTTGGTGGTTTCAAGGCAAGAGAAGAAACCACCAACATCCATTTGGAGGGAGGGCTCGGAGCTCGCGAAACAAACCGGCGCGCCCATTGCACTTGGGAGCTTTCCTCGCTGGTGCCCGTTGGGCAGCCAGATACGGGACAGCGGCAAGGGATGGCTTTGCTCAGCGTCGTTCCGTTTCTCATAGGGGTCATTGCTGGTGCGATAAGTAGGGAAAGAGCGAATGAACCCAGCAATCCCTTGAAGGACACCACCAGTTGGATGGTTTATTAGGGTCATTCTTTCTGTCCCTCCCTCCATCCCTCCCTCCATCCCTCCATCCCTCCCTCCATCCCTCCCTCCCTCCCTCCCTCCCTTCCTCCCTCCCTCCATCCCTCCCTCCATCCCTCCCTCCCTCCCTCCCTCCCTCCCTCCCTCCCTCCCTCCCTCCCTCCCTCCCTCCCTCCCTCCCTCCCTCCCTCCCTCCCTCCCTCCCTCCCTCCCTCCCTCCCTCCCTCCCTCCCTCCCTCCCTCCCCGCACCTCTCGCAGCGATCGCCTTTTGGACTTCTGAGGTTCTGGAGCAGTCGCCCAACTGGGCCTTGGCCAATCCCCGGGCTAGTCCCCGGCACTTCGAGGCAAGACATCGCCGGAGTGCTGAAACCAGGAGCCGGTTTCTGGGAAGGTTCCTTGTGTTAACGCCGGGTTTTGATGATGATGATGATGATGATGATGATGATGATGATGATGATGATGATGATGATGATGATGATGATGATGATGATGATGATGATGATGATGATGATCAATTCAGCTTTACGAAAAGGTTTGCAGGGTACAAAGCCATTCTTCTTCCAGATGAACCAAGTTTAGACACGTGTCAAACAGGGGAGCCCTTTGGCGGTTGAACTTGCCTCTGGAAGACTGCCAGGAAATGATGTGGGCATATCTTTTGAGGGCACCCATTTGGGCAAGCCGAAAGGAAAACCACAGATTCTCGGGTCCGCCTATTTTGATGCACACACACACACCCACCCATCCATATCCGGTTTCCCTTTCCACATGGAGCTTGGCTCTTGAGGAAACCGTGAAGGTCCCGTCACCGCTCTTGCGGCCTCAAAGGACCAACAGGTAGTTTCCCAAACAAGGACTTCCAATGCAGACACCTTGGAATTTGAATATTCCGTTCCGCTCCCAAATGACCATGAGTGACTTTCCTCATTTAGTGGGAAATAATTATCATCTTTATAGGGGTTTCCCCAAGGTCATCCCATGTAAAGGACTTTTTGCTCAACCTCAACCTCTAGCATGTTTGGTTTCTTCTATCCTGCGCACCTCCCCAACACCCCGAGAGGTACCTCAACAAATGGACACACACACACACACACATTTACCCGAAAGTGCTCTGGAAAACCTGGGTTTTGTCTTGGTTTCAAGTGCTTCCCAAGATGGGTTTCCTTTCGCTGGTGGACACCCATTCGGGGAGTTCCTCGGGTGAATGAGCTGACACCCATTGGTCCTTGGGGATCCGATTCAGGTGCGAGCCTGGCGGGCAGGCGACGTGAGCCAGCGGGGACCCCATCAGTGGCCGCGCCTGCGGAGACTCGTTCACAGGGCCGATACGTTGATGTGGCTGTGGGCCAAAACCCCAGGAAACTCCTGGTGAACATCAAACTAGGCGGCAAATGGCCGTTCATCCACCCCAAAATAGAGAAATCCATGGACACCTTCCCGACCCCCCTCCCACAAAAGAATGGTGGTTCTCGTTTGGTTCCCCTTGAAACCACAAAAAAGAAAAAAATACCCTATGTGTCATGAGTTTGCAGGGTTTGCGAGCCAATTCCCTATTTGGAACCTCCAGTAGTAGGAATTGTTTCAATGGGGATCCAGTGACCCCAAGTTTGCTTCGCATCGTCAGTGACACTCAGGTGATGGTTGGTACAGGCTAGGCTAGTTGTCAAGCAAAGGGTCCTCTATCAGAATTCGTTGTCATATGGGTGTGGGTCAAAAGGGTGGCAAATGGACACATGGACTAAGACCTGCGGTCCAATTCCTGGTGGTTTAATTTTGACCCATGCCCAGATGAAACTGCAACTCTGCTTCCGGCACCTCCCCTAAGCACCATCCACAACGATCCAGTGGTCGAAAACAATCCACGTGCCAAAATTCATACCCATATCAGATCCCGCCCTGCACCAAAACGAAGCGCTTCCGGCGAGCAAAAACGCGAGCAAAAACGCGAGGTACGAGGTGCGGCTGGGGCGGTTCGAGTATCAGCTGGCGCAAGGCGGCAGCCAGGCAGGAGGGGAGGGGCGGCACTAGGGAGCCTCGGTTGCTTGGTCTGTTGCTTACTTGCTTGCTCGGTTTGTTCATGGTTGTTGTTGGGAAACATTTTTTTACTTTTTTGCTTATTGTGGTTTAGTGGGAAATCCCCACTGAACTGCTGAAAAACAACTCCCCTTCGAACGTCAACCAAGTGTTGGTTGCCTTGGTGGTTTGGTTCCTGGTTGGTTGTTTGGAAACGGATGCAGGCGTTCCGGTTTGGCAGTGCTTAGCCCCATGATCGACTCAAACACTGCTTTCTTACCCGCAAAGCAGACTTAGAGTCAGTTTTGAACTGATCAATTTGGGGAAGTTGCCCTTGCTGTGCTTAACCAGCCATGATCCTTTTGGTTTAACTGGTGGTTCTCTTGGTTACCTACTATACATGTAGTTGGATCCACTGGGACAATCAAAGAATAGGTGATCAACGAATACAGCCCGGAACAGTTACGCGTTCCATTTGGCAAGCTGGGCCTTTCGTTTTTTGCGAAGCCGCGAGTTTGGGGCGTTGGGAGGGTCATGGCAGGTCTTCAACCTCACGTCGGATGGCACTGCGGTAGACCCAGACGGCGGATTTGCCATGTGGCCGGGGTGGGGATTTGCTTCGCGCATTGCAGCCGCATGAGGGGCACTTCTTTTTGCCGTGCCTATTTTGGGTGGGCATTTGGAGAAGCCGATGCCCAAAAGGAGTGCGGATCGGATTTTTTTGGGACACTAGAAGCGAATGCTTTCGCATAATGTTGGAACTTGATTAATAAAGGGCCCCCCCCCCCCCTGAACAATGGAGGCGCCAAAACAATGGGGGTGCACTTTTGGGACGTCCAAACAATGGAGGGTTTTGGGGCCCAATTCTACTTTAGTATTGCAGCCACTTCCTTTTTGCAGTTCTACTTTAGTATTGCAGCCACTTCCTTTTTGCAATTCTACTTTAGTATTGCAGCCACTTCCTTTAGTATTGCAGCCACTTCTTTTTTGCAATTCTACTTTAGTATTGCAGCCACTTCCTTTTTGCAATTCTACTTTAGTATTGCAGCCACTTCCTTTAGTATTGCAGCCACTTCTTTTTTGCAATTCTACTTTAGTATTGCAGCCACCTCCTTTTTGCAATTCTACTTTAGTATTGCAACCACTTCTTGTCAGCTGGGGGTTTGGCTTTGGGTTCTGTGGTTGAGCAACCAATTGAAAGGGGAATGCTTTTAAGCAAGTGTGCCACCAATTGAAAGGGGATGCTTTTAAGCAAGTGGGCCACCAATTGAAAGGGGATGCTTTTAAGCAAGTGTGCCACCAATTGAAAGGGGATGCTTTTAAGCAAGTGGGCCACCAATTGAAAGGGGAATGCTTTTGAGCAAAGCAAGTGATAGTGTATTTTCTGGGAGGGGGGGCTGGGGGCTTGCCACTAAAACAATCACATTATTGTGGTTCAGTGGGGTCTGTGAGGGGTACCCTTGTCCTGATTGTTTTTTTGCATTTTTTTTTAGCACGGTTTAATAAAGAGTTTGCAGTTTCAGGGCTGGGGATGGTTTTCAAATTTCAGAGTTTCAGCTGGCTTTGGGTTCTGTGGTTGAGCAACCAATTGAAAGGGGAATGCTTTTAAGCAAGTGGGCCACCAATTGAAAGGGGATGCTTTTAAGCAAGTGGGCCACCAATTGAAAGGGGAATGCTTTTGAGCAAAGCAAGTGATAGTGTATTTTCTGGGAGGGGGGGCTGGGGGCTTGCCACTATTGTGGTCCCCTAAAACAATCACATTATTGTGGTTCAGTGGGGTCTGTGAGGGGTACCCTTGTCCTGATTGTTTTTTGCATTTTTTTTTAGCACGGTTTAATAAAGAGTTTGCAGTTTCAGGGCTGGGGATGGTTTTCAAATTTCAGAGTTTCACCTGGCTGGATTTTGAGGTCAACATGGATTTTGGGTGATTGTTTGGGGGGGGGATGTTTTTTTTTGCTCTGTGGATTTTTTTTGAATTTTCCCCTGGCCAAAAAAACTTTCTATTATTCTGGTCCCCTTAAACAATGGGTGTGAACCATAATAAGGAAACACTTTCTATTATTCCGGTACCCTTTACTAATCGAGTGCTTACATTAAACAACATTCCCCCCAAAAGCTCCCGAACGGTTGGGTCGAATTTGTTGTTCTTCTTGATCGGGGTTTCAAAGGGACAGGGCCCCCCTCCCCAAGGATTTCATGCTCTTCATTTTTTGTTGGGGGGGAGAATGCAAATTCAACCACTCCTGGTGCCTTCCCCCTGCCCCGCCCCAGGAATCCCCCCCCCCCCCCCCCCAATCTTCAGACAAGGTGTTGAATTCCAATGGGCACCACCCGCTTCCCCATTTTCCGGTTTCGGGTTGAGGCGCTTCGTGGCCTCGTGCGGGGCCTCCAGTTCCGCTTCGAGGACAACTGGGGCGAGGACGGGTCGAAACCTACGGGAGAGTGCATCGGTTTGGGTGGGTTATCAGTGTTGAGTCCAGGTACCCTGCTAAGTTTGTGCAACTGCTTGTGCAGCCTGGCATGTCTGACACCTAGGCATGTGTGATCCATTGGATTCATTTCGCCCGCTTAGACCAAGGCTGACACAGCCTGATTAGAGGTGGAAAGCATCTTGCGGCGCGCATATCGCGATTGCCATGGATTGAGCTGGTTTACCCTGGTGAAACAGGCCCTGGCCAGGCTCCGCTTGACCTCCCGTTTGTGTGCAACCGAACAAAGAGGTGTGATTGCATTGGTAGCGTGCCTAGTGCCTACGTATCCCTTCGTGGTACGCGCCCGGCCACCATGACCGACGCAGAAGACGATGACCTTGCGTCCGACTTGGAAGACTTCGTTGGGAAGGACGCCGGCACGACGAGCCGGAGGAGGAAGAGGCTGCCGACGATGACGACGATCAAGGTCAGGTCCTTCGTGGGCGGTCACGCCGCTGCTGGTCGGCGCGGGCCACGGGTTCGCCTAGCAGCTCTGCCTTTGCAAGGTCTACGCTCTTGGGATGCCATTTGCTTCGCCTACTGGCAGGTTGTGGCCCAGCAAAACTACGGATCTTCTTGAAACTGGCAGCCCGACATGGTTGAGCTTGGGCGACCCCGCGGAGTTAACTACGTCAAAGCGGACGCTACTTCGGTTAGGATGACAGGCAGCTTCAACAGCCGGGTCTGCATGGACTTTGTGTACCTCAAGGAGGCCAATGCCGCGACCCACATTTTCTTGCACGTGCTGGAACCCAACCAAGGCTCGACAAAGACGGGGCCTTCGAAGGCGAGTTCTTGGATCGCACGCAGAGGTTGGGCGTCGAGGTTGAAAACCCTGCTGCAGAAGCTCACTGGCAGGCGGGCGAAGTGGAGACCTACAACGGCAGACTTGGAAGACTTGGACAAGGGCGGCTGCAGATGCGGAGTTTGACGCGTTACGCAATGCGGTTCTTCGTCTACCGAGACCACCATGAACCTCTTACGAACCTTGTGAGCTGGTTGTCTTCTGGTGCAACGCGAAGATGCGGAAAGGCAAGCGCCGACCAGCTGATTGAGGACGGGCGACCCTCATCGGGCCAGCAGAACCGGGGGCAAGCGCGCACTCGTCTGAAAGGAACAGCTCCGGCCGGCCTACGGCACCGAGCTGTGGCGAGTACAAGAAGGAGGCGAAGGTCTACTACTCGGAGTACTTCGAAGGCGATGGAATGAGCGAAGGTAGTTCCTATGTACAAGCCAGTCAACAGGCGCCCGACGAAGTACCTCACGATATACCAGCACTCAACTCTTCTTCGCCCAGAATGCCAGCAACAGCTTCGGCCAGCGCCAACTCTGATGTTACGCAGCCGACAGGGCAACGAGAATCTCCACAATTTGGTGCCGAACCAGATTGCCGGGCATACCGCTAAAACCACTCTATTGGCGTCCGTCTCCAGAAGTAGAGCCAGAGGCCAGGCAAGTCGGCGAAGAGACCGACCTCAACATTGGAACAGAGCCTCATGTGCAACAACCGCCACGCCGACGTTCTCGCCAGTGAGTATTTCGCTGGAGCAGAGATCCCCCTTGAGCAGATCCCGCTGGAGCTGTTCACAGATTACATCATGCGGCTGGCGGATTGCAGAGTATGGGTCGCATGGTTGTGCGATGCACAAGGTGTTGACCCACAATTTGCAGCGTGGAGTACGGATTAAGAAGCGAACCAGAACAAGGATTATTTCGAAGAGGCTAGGTTACCGAGACCAGGCATTGATTTTGGTTGACGGCTGTACCGCATGGGTTGGGCAACGAGGACACCAAGACCAAGAGTCATTGACTTGGCGTTGGCAGATGGTTGACTGGCCTCTTTGCAACCAACTGGGCACATCTGGACTGTCAAAATTGGACCCAAAATGATGGTGTGATCTCCGTTTTTTGCGGGTAGATTGAGGGTCCAGGTAGTCAAAATAGGGGGACCCACAGATTCGTTTCTTGGTTGGATTCTCTTTAATGGCAGATGAAACAGGCACCAAACCTCAAATAAAGCACCGGCAAATATGAATCCAAATGTAGGGAATGGTTCAAGGGCGTTTTTTGGGCTCTATATTAGCGCACCTCAATGGGAACACCGCTTTGGTTTGAAAGGGAAGTCCACAGGCAAGCAACCGGAAGAACGGCTTTGAAACCCCGACGTGCCGTTTCATTTGACACCTTGCTTGTGTCATGGACCTCTGGGGAATGTAGATGACACGAGCTCCTGGCCTACAGATTCGGAGTTTTGACCACGGCACATTGTTAGCAAGCCCGGCTGTATGCGTCATGCACTCCCATGCGCAAACGGCCAGGACAACACACTGGTGTGCCGCTTGCGCGTGTTTAGCAATCACAGCCACTAATTGCGAAGCGCAACGGCTAGAATCTCATTGTTGCTTTCGGGGACAGGCATAGAATGGAGGGCGAGAGGCGAGTTTTCTCCTTTTGGAATGCTTGGTTTGCGTACTTCCATTTGGGGTCCATTGGGTGTTTCTCAAAATGACCGTTTCCCACAGTTTGCTTGACTTTACCAACCAAAAAGGGGTCCCAACAACATGTCCATGGTTTCTCCAACCAATTAACATACCCATGGGGTGATATCCTAAAGTGGCACCGGTGTCCGTGTGTTACCAAACCACCCTTTTGAGAGGTTTTCCAGCCTTGCTTTGCTCAGTGAAGCGTGGAGGGCGTTCGCGCGAACGGGCCTTGAATTCAATACTTGCATGCGACATGTCGCGCTGGGGATAAGCGCGCGATGCAGATCGACATGGATCCCTGACATGTTATAGAAGAATCTCCCAAGAAGGGGGACCACCTTTTTGGGTTCCACGTGAATCTACAGGAGGGACGATGCCTGGTTGCCACTTCCGGCGTTGAACAGACTTGAACGTGAACTAGCATAGGCCAAAAAGGCAGCCAGCATCGATAGACGTGCTTGAGGGGCGTGCGACAACGTGGGAGAGCTCATGCACGAAAAGCGAGCAGTGGGTGGGTTGTTCGGGCAACTAGGGATCTGTGCAAAACAGAACCAGCTCACTCGTGCAGTTGCCCAGATGGATGGTTTATTTGGGCTCACGGTTTGCCCAGATGTCATCGTTGTAATTTGCCCCGGGGGTGTCATAGCTTTGCCGCGAATTGCAGGATTGGGTAGTACTTCGGCACTTGCGAGAGTTGCAGAGGCAATGACTGGAGTGCTCGCGCAATGCTGCTGGATCCAAAGGACGCAGTCGAGACATACGCGATGGGTGTTTTTTGAAGGGTACCCTTGTTCAAGCCTGGGTTTTAACCATACTTAGTCCAACCCTAGCAACACGAGGGGCCGGATTGACCCTGGTTTTGTTGTATTGTGAAATTCAGTTGCACAACTCAGAACAGAATAGCAAGAAGCAAGCCAAGGCACATGTTCATCCCAGCCGTTGAGATCAGAAGGTCTCTTTGCGGGTCCACTTGTCGCATGGGAGCCGTGACCCCATGCACCTCTTCTGCAAGTGTTGCAAGAAGGAGGACAAGGAGACCCCCGCACAGGCGAAGCCGGTCAATCGGAAGGGCCCGCGGATTTCATGGCGAACGCGTCATTCAGACGGACCTACAGCCTTGTTTCATTTTTTTTTGGGGGGGGGGCAACAAGCCGGTTTTGGCGCGGCCCGTAGAAGCCCTCACTCGTCGCGGTGTCGTTCGTTTTTTTCCTCTTTTTTCCCCGGTGTTTCGCATGTCCAGCTCAAGTTCCCTTTGTTTGTCGGGGGCCGGCGTGGTGTCACCTGGCAGGTGAAACGACTGCAAGATGAGGTGGCGCCCCGGCGTGCACTGCAGCGTTTGGTGAGCCAAAACTGAAACCCAGCGGCCAGCGGCCAGAGTTAAAGCTGGGTGCGGAGATCGAAGCCTTTTTTAGATTCTTTACTATGTGAAGCTAGAGACATATACTATTTATTGGGTCCATGGTGGAATCAAGACTGATCACTGAGACAAATTTATGGCTACTTAATTCACTTCCCGGTAAATATGAGAACCCCTCACCCACGTTGGCGTTGGTTTGACGTCTCTCAGGACTGCCTTCACTTCGAGATGACGACCCTGTCAAACAGGCGCGGACCCTGCAAGGCTCAGAGGTTTTCTGCCGGGTTTTCTCTCGGAGACTTAGTGGCTTTCCTAGTTTTCCCGGAGAATTAGTTGTTTTCCACGGGTTTTCTCTGAAGCAATCCGTGTTTTGTTCACCTGTTTCCCGTGGAACATGGCCCCAAGATTGCCGCGAGCCTCCGTTTTGGGCACTCGAAGCTTCGCTGGTGCAAAGGGAAGTCATCAGCGAATCGCCAGCATTTTGGGTCCGGTGCCTTTGGCCGGGGAATTCTCTTCTCCTGGCGTGCGCTTCCAAGTGACCCAAACACCTAGGTGTGTCTGAGTGTGTGTGTGTGTGTGTGTGCGGGCTTGTTTGGGGGCTGTGAAGAAAACCAGAGGGACACTCGCAAGTTTTTGTGGCCCCTATTTTGAGGGGAAACGTTCACTGGGTTCTATTAAACGATTCGCCGCGCGCTTACACTCAGGTGCTTCCACTCGTGAGCATGGCCCATTCATCCGGGCAGAATACAGATTGGACCCCGGTGCCCCATTTTTTTCGGCGAGCTTCCTTTTGGTTTCGTTTCTCAAACCGCACCTCAAAAAGGCGGATCCGGCGCCAAAAAAGCAATCAGCGCACCGGGGCGCCTGCGCGGCAGGTTGTCGGTGCTGATCTCGGAGAAGGCAGAAGACTCCAGCGAAGTGCACGGGGAATTCATTCAGGACTGGGGTTGGGTTGGGATCGGCAGCCTTAATTCGGAGTCTGTCGAGCTCAGGCTTCACTGTTGTTGGCGGCGTTTCCGTTTTGATCCTTTTTTTCATTTCGTGAGTGATGGGCTGCAAAAAAGAGACAAAGACATCACATTTGCAAACGAAGCCCAAGGGCGTTATAAAGTTTTTTTGAACCTCAGGCCCCAACTTTCTGCTAAAACAAGCCATGGGAACTCCCATGGAGAGTTGCCAGCGAAAGGCTTCGGAGGTGGGGTGCTACGTGTTGGAATCCTAGGCTCCAGGGCTGGAGTCCGAGCTTGCAGGCTGGTGTGGTGGCTTCCTCTGAGGAAATCGGCGGAAACCAGTCAGTGGATCTGTTGAAATTGTGAGCTTGGGTGAAGGAAGTTGGTTCCCTTTGTAGTGGTTTGGGGGGTACGGATGAGTGGCTACTTCATCTTCAGCCTTCATCTTTCCCTTGTGATCTTGGTGTTGTCAAACCCATTCGAGAGGAGGCCTAGAACGCCCCAAGAAAGATGTTAAAGCACGAACGAGTTGTTTTTCTCTGAATTGTTCAACTTTTTTAGGCGGGTCCCCATTCCTTTGAGCCATACCAGATGGGATCTGAGATCAGGACACCACCGAGGCGTTGCTGGACATCACAGGCCATCGGTCAAATCGAATCTCCAATGGTTTGGTGCGTTTGAAACTCCGGGCGGCGGTATGGGGCGGAAAAAGCCGCACAAAATTGTCCGTGTGAGTTTGCCTACCTTCAATGGGTCTGCTTTGAAGAAGAGTGCCTGAAGATAGGCAGATCGGAATCCGCACTGGAGCAGAAAAGCAGACAGAGTAAGGCAAATAAGCATTTGCGAGTTCAGGCACGTACCAACTACTGTTTTTTGGTCGCAACCCGTACCAATTTGGGGATTTTGTTCGCATGGTTGAAAAAGCGGGCAGGCAAGTTGGGGGGTGCTGCGAGGTTTTTCTGATAGTAATTCTTTGAGATGAATCAAATCCTCTGGAACGCTCCAATCAACCAATGATTTGTAATGATTGTTGGGGTATGGGTGTATCTCTTCTCTTTTAGACCAACATGGTGGTTGGCGAAGGTCTTTTTTGACCCAGGACCCTGAGGGGCTGAGGCAGGGCTTGGGTGAGGTAGGTCGATGTGCTCAAAATTGGGGTTCGAAGCCCTAAACTGGGTGATTGTTTTCAACAAGCAACATGCATCCATTTGGCTAGTAAGGCATACCATATTTGGGGTCAAGAACCATATGGGCACGGCGAAGTCACAAGCCGAGCTTGCCCACGATTTCCGCATGAAGGCTCCTTCCTCAGAGTACCTTTCCTCAGGTGAATTCGCAGAACCATGTACTTGAGACTTGAGATTCCCCTCGAACATTGAGCAGTGTCCCATTTCTGGGTTGAACCAGGTTTGCCACGCCTGTCACTTTTGCATGGCTGGTCGTGTGGATACCCTTTACATTGACAGCGGTGAATCCTGGGGAGGGGGGGGGGTTCGGCTCTTCCCAATCTCAGAATTGCTCCGGGCCTCAAAACAATGACCAAACCACAAGTGTAGAATATGGACGGTTCATCACTTTGGGAGAGGGACCCCCAAACAACTAGGACGTGCTTATTAATCCGGTGGTCAGCATTCATTTTCTTTTTGAGGGTAACCTTGTTGGGGTGGATTCCAAGGGGAACCAAAGCGAACACCGCCCATTTTTGCGGGTACGTCAATGTTGAGACATCCTCATGTAGGGCTTGATCAAAAGGTGCTTTACATAAGATGACTATTGGGGCAACCCCCCCGACAAATGATATGTGCCACTAAATGGGAAAAGTTGAGGATACACCAACAAAAAGAGACTCCCCCTGGCTTTTGTGGGACGCTAAGAAAATCCCCCATGACCTGGCGGTTACCTTTGTGGTTTCCTTTCCAGCCATCCAAACACTTGCTTTCAGGGCGTACCTTCCGCCGCAGGGCGCGTGGAGAGGTTAGAGCTCCTGAGGGACGAGACCAGCAGCCGCCAGAGCCAGGAGCAAGGGAGCGGTTGTGATGGTAAGTTCGTGGGGTTGCCCAAACTCATTTTGGGCGGGTTGTGAAGGGTAGCAAAAGGGGATAACATGTTTTTTGAGGACAATACCAATATGTGGTAGTGGAAGACATCAGGGGCCAACTGCAAGCTTCCGGCAAACAGCAAATGTTGACTGGCTCACAGGTGCTACGGTCAAACATTTGTTTACTTGGTTTTTGACGAGGGTTTTAGACAACAGTGAAAAGGGTCCCCACTGAGGAAACCTCGACCATGACTAGACTAGTGGGGGTATTTCTCATATCCTGCGGGCCACTTCCTGGTGTTACAAACATGAATTGATCTCTTCAAAACACCGCCAGAAAGGGTCCCAGCTCAAAAAGAGTAACACGAGATGATCGGATGAAGTAGATGACTAGATGAATGGGCATTTTGAAGCGAGAACAGGCACGTAGGGAGAGGCAGTTGGAGCCAACGGCATCGGAGTGCGATGGGATGTTTTTTGGTACCATGATCAAAACACCAACTTCAAACCTACTTGGCTCAGTATGGATGATTTGCTGCTAGGGAATTCAGGGGTAGGGGAACTGTGACATCATGGTGTTGACCATGCTGATGGTTGTGACGTTTATTTGGGGGAGGGGATCTATTTGTGATTAGCTAACGCAACCAAGATGAAACGCTTCCATTTTCGGGTCCATGTGCTTAGTTTGAGACACCCATTGAAACAAAGCCATTGCCTTGCCATTTTTTGGCCCTCGTTCTCAGTCTTCCTGGCACGCACATGGATGAACTCTGGGTTTTGTTTTCTCCTTTTCTTTTAAAGGAGTTTCATCATTTAAATTGGGCCAAGCATTCATTTGATCGGGATGAACCCTACGGTGAACAGTTTCCTTCAGTTTCCAAAATTTCCAGGCTTGCCATTCTTCGACCAACTTGTGCCGATCGATTCGGTAAATCTTGCCAGGAAAGCAAGCAGTGCAGCAAAGACCTACGGAATTTGGCATCCAGGTGGGGCAGCAACGACAACAGGAACACTATGAGGCACAGTCACAGCCCATTCGGGTAGGTGAAGGTTCGGAGGACAGTCCCAACCCGAAATCGGTGCGGATGCCCGCCGGGATTCTTTACCCTATGAGTTAGGGAAGCCCCGGCTGATTCATGTCTTATTTTGGCATTTTGGGGAGCCATCAACAGGTGGAGCACTTCGACCTGGGTGGTTCTGTTTAACTAGGATCCCTGAGGGCCCTAGTTTTGATCCATACCCGCTTGAAGATGGAAGGCGACCAAGCGACCAGCTTTTTGCGTTGCGCGAATGGCTAAGAAAACATTTCCATGTTGCACTCCTACAAAATGCGCATGGAACCTCCAGAAGCGGCCCAGGGAAAATGTCAAGAAACATGGTGGGCTTTTGCCATGCCACCAGGAACAATATGCACTTGCACATCCGGATTCGAAGGACCTTGACGTGTAAGCCCGAAGTTGTGCTTCGTGTGATTTGTCCCTCACAAGCACCAGGTGCGCCTTGGTCACAAAACAAATTTACTTGAGGTGGATGTGTTCTTTTCGAGGGTGCCCTTGTTGCAAAAGGAAAACCACCCATCTGGTTGGGGGGCGAACCCCTGTTTTGACGGATATCACTTTCCTTGGGCAGAGTTTCGTCCGGACACGGTGAAAAGCTGACAGATGGGCATGGACACCCCTCCCCTTGGCCATTCGGGTCACCGGCCTTGTAAAAATAATGGGGGTGCTTTTTGTGTTTCCCCGAAAGCATCACGAAGGGTTCTTTGAAAAAAACGGTTGCCGACTACACAGCTGACTTACTCAACCTGACAAACGCAGCCTGACTTACGCAGCCTGACTGACGCAGCCTGACGGATGCAGCCTGACTCACACAGCCGGACGGACGCAGCCTGACTTACGCAGCGTAGCCTACACAGCCTGACTAACCGCAGCCTGACTTACGCAGCCTAGCTTACAGCTTTACTGACCCAGCCGAAGCTCGCAGCCTTTAAATTCTATCTTCTTTCTTAGCCGGGGGTGGGTCTGGCGGGCGCTGGGGGGATGAACCCTCTGCGGGGATCGTGCGTGTCGGAGCGCTCTCGCTGTGGCGCCGTGCGAATTTTCTACGTGGCCCGCGAACCCTCTGCGGAGATTGTGCGTGTCGAATCGCTCTCGCTGTGGCGCCGTGCGAATCTCAAAGCTCGCGGACGAACCTTCTGCGGAGATTGTGCGTGTCGAGTCGCTCTCGCTGTGGCGCCGTGCGAATTTTTTACGTGGCCGACGAACCCTCTGCGGAGATTGTGCGTGTCGGATCGCTCTCGCTGTGGCGCCGTGCGAATTTCAAAGCTCGCCGAGGAACCCTCTGCGGAGATTGTGCGTGTCGAATCGCTCTCGCTGTGGCGCCGTGCGAATCTCAAAGCTCGCGGACGAACCTTCTGCGGAGATTGTGCGTGTCGAGTCGCTCTCGCTGTGGCGCCGTGCGAATTTTTTACGTGGCCGACGAACCCTCTGCGGAGATTGCGTGTCGGATCGCTCTCGCTGTGGCGCCGTGCGAATTTCAAAGCTCGCCGAGGAACCCTCTGCGGAGATTGTGCGTGTCGAATTGCTCTCGCTGTGGCGCCGTTCCAATTTCAAAGCTCGCCGACGAACCCTCTGCGGAGATTTGTGCGTGTCGGATCGCTCTCGCTGTGGTTTTCGCAAGATTCGGCGTGAGAATCGCAAGTTTTTAACTGGAAAAGAAGCATGCGAAGTACGCTCCCGCATCTCCGGCCGGAGAATCGCAAATTTTCAGTAGAAAAGTAGCACGCGAAGCACATTCCCGCGAATCCGGCTTGCAAAAGAGGGAAAGAAAGAGACAGAAAGAGACGCGCAGCCTTCGAAACTAGCCGACGAGCCTTTTGCGGAGACCGTGCGTGTCGGATCGCTCTCGCTGTGCCGTGCAAATCGTCACAAGGCTGTGGTGTTTCGTGCTGTGTTAGACTGGCAGGGTTTCGGGGGGCGGGGCAGTAGCACACGGACCATGCAGCATCACTAAGTGTTGTAGGCTTCGGCTGCGTCGTGGAAGCAGGGCACTTGATAACTTGATGAGCTTGCCTATGTGTTTGTTTGACACGCGCATGCGTAGGTTCAAGAAGTTCAGTCGTCTAGTAGAGTAATTAGCGTTTGGAGACATGGCATGACGCAGCGTGCATGAATAGTTTCACAGTAAGTGCCGCGCTCGTCAAATATATCGGCCATGGCTTCGTCGTCGGCGAGTGTGTTTCTGGCGCAGCTGCGCGCGGACGTCTTGCAACCGCCTTGCCACGACGCTGCGGATTTTGTGAAGAATAAGCTGGAGTCGCTCAAGCTCAAGTCGGCTTCAGAGCGCTGTCCAGCTCTGGTCGATGTGGCTAGAACTGCGGGGGTGTCAGTCGCATTTCCGCAGGGAGGATGGCTCACAAAGTCGGCGCTGGTTGAGGCCTTGGCGAGCGCCTTGTCTTCTGCAGCTTCGGTTTCTTCAGCGAGTTCATTGCGGAGCGCTGCAGATGCGTTTCTGGCGGAGCTCCGGGACATGGTCCAGCAGCGGCCCGGCGATGGAGCGACCTCGGTGCGCGAGAAGTTACAGCGGCTCCAGGCCAGGGGAAACATATTTTCTTCCTTGTGTGAAATTAGATTGTTTCATCTAAGGTGAAATCGAATGTTTAGATCTGTTTCGTTGTTGGTCGCATTAGTGCTTGGCTGAGGTAAAGGCTGCATCAAGCAGCCCTGCCCTCGTCGACGTGGCGAAGTCTGCGGGGGTTTCAGTCGCATCTACACAGGGAGGGCTCACAAAGTCGCGACTGGTGGAGGCCTTGGTGAACGCCTTGTCTTCTGCAGCTTCGGTTTCTTCAGCGAGTTCTTCGCGGAGCGCTGCAGATGCGTTTCTGGCGGAGCTCCGGGACATGGTCCAGCAGCGGCCCGGCGATGGAGCGACCTCGGTGCGCGAGAAGTTACAGCGGCTCGTTTGCATCTTTGAATTGCACCTTGGTCTGCCCGTTGCTCAAGATTGCTTGGGGCCACTGGTTCCAATCGGTCGCCCACTTTGCGCTAGCGAAGCGCAAGAGTCAAAGGCTCCACGGAGGAGGTGCAAGCGAAAGGTGGGCCTGAGTACTTCGACGACTTCCTGACAGAAAGTGTTGATGTCCAGCTGGTCCGCGCCAAAGTCGAGCACTTGTCTGCCGAGAACCTCGAACTCTCGGACTGGTGCCCGGACAAGCGTCGCGACGCGCGCGCGAAGGTTGCTTTGGCGAAGCAAGACAACCTGCTTTTCCAGACGTGGCACCGTGAACTTCGCGCTCTTCCAGGCCTGTGCAGGGGCCACCTAGGTCCAGATCGGCGTCCAGATCCCGGTCCACAGCGAGGTCCAGAAGCCGCGCGGCGGCGGAAGAGAGCGATGAAGGGGTCCAGGATACGGCCGCCGCTGTTTGCAAAAGGGCTCCTCACTTCGCGCCGTCCCGCAAGCAGGCCGCCAAGCTCGACGCCCGCAAGTGGGACGAGTACGCCTACTTGTACGCAGCAGAGGCTCGCTGTCTGCCGTGCATGCAGCATTCCGTGAGGAGCTGCCATGTGGATCCGCTCTGCCAGTCTACGAACAAGAACGCCAGACGGTGGGCAGAGAAAGCTCGCCGCGAGCAGTTTTTTCGTAGGCATGGCGTTTGGTAGGCGAGCGAGTGAACGGCGCACTCCGACGCTTTCTGTCTATGTGTTGCTGACGTGGCTGGCGTCGCCGGCAAGCTCCCAGTGGCTGGAGCTATTGCAGAGAGCGTGTGCCCCTTTCGGCGGCGCGCAACAAGCGCAAAGCCTGATAGCAGTGAGCGCCTCCGCTCGTTGGCCAAAACAAAAGCCATGCGTGCGAGGCCAGATTGTTACCGATATGATTGTGAGTTGCATCTTTGACTTGCACCTTGTTTTGCCTGTGGCTCAAGGCCGCTTGGCTTTTTTGCGTGCCTGCTGGCTTGACGGCTTACCCTTCAACATCTCCAGCCACGCAGCAGCATTGAACGCACATCCTTGCAGCGGCCCTTGTTGTCTAGAGTGCAGCTTTTCACCAAAAGCCGCGGAAGCCTTAGTTTTGGAGCAGCGAAACGCATGGCACAGTTTTGGTGTTCTGCTAACGTCGCGACAGGAGCCAAGCGTCTCGCAGTCAACGTGCATGGGCAGGGAGCTCAGAAGTGACGCGCAAGCTCCCAGTGGCTGGGGCCATTGCAGAGAGCGCGTGCCCCTCTAGGCAGCGCGCAAAAAGCGGCCGAACAAAAAGAAAACAGATGCCATGCGTGCGAGGTCAGATTGTTGCCGTTCTTTCTCCGAGTTGCGTATTTTTGCTCGCGGCTCAATCTTTGCATCTTTGACTTGCGCCTTGTTTTGCCTGGCTCAAGACCGCTTGGCTTTTTTGCGCGCCCGCTGGCTTGACGGCTTACCCTTCGACATCTCCAGCCACGCAGCAGCATTGAACACACATCCTTGCAGCGGCCCTTGTTGTCTAGAGTGCAGCTTTTCACCAAAAGCCGTGGAAGCCTTAGTTTTGGAGCAGCGAAACGCATGGCACAGGTTTGGTGAAAGAAGAGATGCCATGTGTGCGAGGTCAGATTGTTGCCGATCTGTCTTTGAGTTGCATAATTTTGCTCGTTGCTCAATCTTTGCATCTTTGACTTGCGCCTTGTTTTTTGCAGCAAACATCACTGCATTGCATGGAGTAGAGTGAAGCCATCGTTTTGCATTGCATGGATTGTGCTGTCCTCTGTCAGGCTTGTCGCGTGTTGCCGCGTGATTGAAACACGCATCCTTGCAGCAGCTCTTTTCATGCCACGGTTGTGACTGGTGGAGACGGGCCGAGCTGCTGAGCTTTGCTCCTCATCCTTTTTGCTTTGGGCTGCCTGCGGCGCAGCTGTTCATCTTGCACCTGGCGCACCGCGCTGTGGCTGCTGCCTGTGGCGCTGTGGCTGCACCTCAACGGCCCGCGCACGCTCCTGATCTTCTACCTGAGCTTCTGACGCATGTGTTTCGGGAAGTTCCATTTCGTTTGCTGGCAAGTGCCGCTCCATGTTGACTGCGCGCGCCCGGCGTTTCAAAAGCCAAAGCTTGCGTGCTTGGAACAAAAGCTGCTATGAAGAGTCGCCGCTTGCTGACTGACATTTTGCGCCGCATGTCTTTTCTCCTACTCGCTTTCGGGATAATCGGTGTCTAGTTTTGACATACTCCCTTGTCAAATCGAACATGTTTTGTTCCTTTAATAAAATCAAATACGTTAAATAACAGATAAAATATGTTCCACAAATACTTCCTGGTCAATTTGAAGAAGGAACCCAAACCATGGCGTTCTTGAGGTTCTGTTCCTACAAATGGGGGTGTTTTTTCCAGGACAATCTGCAAGGTGTTGTTGACAACCCCAGGGCTTCTCCCCGGCAAACCAGTTTTGGGTATCCGGTATCTGGAATCCAGTTTGGTTTTGGCGACCCCAAAAATCCTGGGGCCGGGTTTGAGACTCACTTGATTTGGCAGGGGGGGATCCAGCCGGTACTCTTTTCTTGCATTCTCTGAAGTTCTGAAGTTGGTAAAATCTTGCCAATCTATCTCATTCCCTGAGCATTCCCTATGATTTCCTTGATTCGAGAATCCCCCAAAAAAGTTCATTCCCTTTCTCCTGCTCTGCGCCTCTCGCAAGAAAACGGCTGGACCGCTTCCCCCAGGCTGGACCGCCATGAGGAGCGCACGGAGCGGGTGGAGCGCCGGTTGACGGAGTCCGGGCAGGCGGCGCACACTTCGCAGGACGGCGATGGCCGATGGGTGGGGTGGATGGTTGGGTGTGGGGTGTGGGGTGGGGCGGGGGTGCAGTGCCAGGGACACTTCGAGTGCCATGAAATATGTTTTCCAGACTTCGGCAAATGGAGGTTAGAGAGATAGTTGTGTGGGCAGCCTGAAAAACCAACCTGAAAAACCAATGACCTAAAGAAGGTTGTGAATTGGACTCTGCCATGGGGGGGGTGACATTTCGAGAGGCAAGAGGTCCCCAATTCACAACAGGGACATGTTAATGGGTAGTTCCATGGGTAGTACCTGGCTTAGTAGGAAGTATAAATTATTACAATCATTTTGGTTTGGGCGCTGCTCAATTGGAGAGACAGCTTTGAGGACTGAGCGATGTAGTTGATGTGACTTGAGCCAGGGATAAATTATGCATGCTTGCAGAATAGCAACAGAAATCCAAACGGAGAAAAGGAAAGGGCAGCAGCCTTTCATCTCAAGGGACAACTTTTCACAGGTATTTTGCAGTTCATGTTCCATTCAAAGACCCCAGAAAAGGAACAGGTCTTTGAACTAGAATTGTTGATCACTTTTTGGCGGCGGGGAGGTGGGGGTTGGTAAAGGTTGAGGGGGAGGTTCTCAACTCACACCATCAAGGGGGAGGGGCGCAGGGCTTGAAATGTTGCTTGGGAATGTAGATCGGGTCCAAGATTGATCGAATGAGAGTGGGATGCCGCGGGAAATTACTCGACAGGCTAATTGACAGTTGGTAGCAATTTTGGATTTGGATGGGTTGGTGGATGACATGTATGTCTTGTGCAGGCATATCTATTTGTTTCTTTGCACAATGTATATCTACATGTGCATGCCTGCAATACTTATTCTGTTGAGCAGCATGTCAGTGGAAGACAGAAGGTAGAAAGACTTTGACCAAAGCTAGTTTTTGCATGAGCATCAGAGCAAGATATTGACCCTTCCTTGCCTTCCCAAAAAAGAAACAGAGGGCACTCGGAACGAGCCATAATCCGCGCCCTTGGGTTAAGCTTGTCTTGTTCTTTGCTCCAAAGAGCATGTCAGGCCAACTTTGGAGCATATTTCTTTGGTTCGACCCGCAAGGGTTTGAGTAAAACCGGGGGGCTTCTGACCTCGGACTTCTTTGGACACGGCTCCCACGGCTCCCACCGCGTGACCGACGTGACCGTCGGTGACGCCGGAGGAGGCGCAGCAGGCCGCCGCCGACCAGGTGCAGCAACTTCTGCAGCGCCTGGAGGCCGAAGAAGCTTTTCGTCGCCTTTCGGCGGACCGAAGCGTCACCGAAGCGCCACCGTGGCACTCGGCGACAGGTTTGGTTGGGCCAGCTTTTTTCGGGTGAACAGTGGACACCGGGAGTTTTCTTGGAACATTTCCCAATTTTTTCCTCTATTTTTTCTGGGGGGAGGGGGGTGGAAGGTGAAGGTTGAACCCCCCAAGGGGTGACTCGAGCCCCCACTAAAAAGAGGACACCCCTATTAATCGAAGTCAACCATGGTTTTTTCTTATTTATCCGGGGTGGCCATTAAGACACATGTGGGTCGGTCAACATATCCAACCCATGGTCCATTTTGGTTCAGTTCGCATTTCAATCCCAGAAGCCGGTTCACGAGCTCTAATTTCCCATGTCCTTAGCTGCAAGCCGCATATTTCGACTGTGGCGCACATGGATTCGGCGTAAACGAGTTGGTAGCGAACGCCCAGCCGCATCCTGTAAGCAGGGAACCATCATGTCTGCAAGAGCCTTCGGTTGCGAAACCCCCGTCCTGACTCCTGAGCCCTTTTCACGGGCACCGCGTGGCAGATCTCTCCAGGTTGGCTTTCAGACTGCGCATGAGGAGACGGCGCAAGTGCAGGCGGGGCCCGCCCTTCCGAGCTGCCGGGGTCATGTAACCGCCATGTAACGTGTACCTATCAGGTTGCATGCAAGCATTGGGTCGCCATGGGGGTTGAAGCCGAGGGTCTTGAGTTGAAATTCAAGTTCACCCCCAAGTAAACCAATAGAAGCCTCCCGAAAGATTCCGTCACACGTCAAAGTTGCAACTTCCGATTGGGGCACCGCCCGCGCGGTTGCACGAAGTTTGCGGGGGGCGTGGGCTTCGCCGCGACTGTGCCGATCGAACTTTTGGCTGACCGCGTGGCAGTGATGCCGCGAGAGTCGTGCGCGCCGAGCAGAGCGCGGGAGAAGTGAACGGCAGCTGGCAGGAGCTCTCACTCAGCTTCAGCGTCGCGTCTCCTTCGCTGGGCGAAGTTGAGTGGTCAACTCTCAGCTGGCAGTTGGAGAGCCACGGGGCTCCCGTCCGCGTGGCATGTGATGCGCCAACTGCATCTCTGGCGCGCGCTGAAGTGCAGAATGTGTAACCAGTTTCTGGCACAGAGTGGCTCCCTTGAGGGGGTGGGATCAGGAGGCTTATCCAACCACTTCTGTGAGGCAAGGGGAACCTCCCCCTTTATATGGGGGGGTTAGTGTTTGGGAAGCCCTTCAGTTGTGCAACAGCAGTGAATTCCATTTCCCGCAGCCCTGGGGTTCGAACATCTGGCTTCGCGTGGCCGGCCGCCCAAACCCCGCGGATGCGGACCGCGAAAGGCGGCGACTGGAACGTGAAAGGGTTGCAAACAGAAGTACTCAGTAAGAAGTAATCGGCAAAGATGCGCATTTGCTTTTTTGAACCAACAAGGACACATGAGACCCACGAAAGGAGGGCGCCATGCGTATGGATCGAATTCCACTATTGAGGGCAAACGTCTGGTCAAACCGCACGGGCTGCGCACGGGCGCCGCAAGGTGCACGGGACCCAAGGCGCGTGCGTGACGGCCGAAGGGGAACTTTTCACCCGGGACCCTCTCTGTCGAGCGTTGGCGCAGGCCGCAGAACTTGGGTACCGCAGGTCGCGCTGTGTGCGCTGGTGACTTTGGGTCCCAGATTTTTGGCGCTGGCGCAGTGTGCAAATGCTCCGTGTGTCCAGCCCCCCCCCCCCGGGCAAAAGTCAGCTTGCTTGCGCAGGTGCTCCAACTTTGAATGGGACGCAAATGCCAAGTGCCAAGTGTCAACCGCATTGCCAAGCCACGTGCCTGGCCCTCCCTGGCCCGACTTCCGACTTTGCGCCAGCTGACGCGACCACCATGGCGCATGGCTTCGTTTACGCGTGTGGCGTAAGAAAAGCTTGCGCCGTGTGCTCGCGTCACAAAAGGTAGTTAGGCTGTGGAAGTTTTAAATGCAAATGCCTGAGAGTATGAGCTGAGAACGGTCAGCAAAGCCTTTTAGACAGCGACTCATTGAAAGCTTGGTGACGGGGCTCCGAAATTTTAAATTTTGCGGCTTGCAAGTTGATTAGAGGAGCCGCTCGCGCCCTTGGAAGTCTGCCTGGCATTTGGTTTTGGATCCGTGCTCCACCAAGGGGCCGGGGGTTGTGCTTGTCAAAAGCCAAGGACAGAAGCTTGGAAGCTCGCGGGGCCCCCCCGGCCGGCAACCTATGCTCGAGGCAAAGACTTGCACCAGGATTTGCACAGCTTGCCCGAGGTGTGGCTCGACCAAAACGAGTGGAGCGTTTCGCTTATCTCGTGGGGGTCGACCCACAAGCCATGTGGGGCAGGCGAACCGGGCTTCAAAATCATAAAAGATAAGAGTGCCTGCTTTTGGTTGGTAATTATTTAGCTACAAGAAGAAGAAAGCCAATCATTTTAGGGCCCAGGCTTCTTGGGCCTTGTTTGTGAGCCAGCTGAATCCGCGTGTGGAAACGGCTGGAGGAGTCGTTGGCTGCACAAGTGTGGCTTGTTGCTCATTCGAACTTCTGCCTACCACTCACGCGCAATGTTGCAGTGATATGAGTGTCGAGAGGGTCTTGCTGCTGGTGGTTAGTGGATGAAGCCAGGTGTGTGGTGAAGTGCTCAGCTTGAAACCAGCTGTGCACTAGCGAAGGACAGAAGCTCGTGCGGCCCATATAGCCCGGCAACATATGCCGAGAGTCAAAGACTCAGGCATGATTTGACAAACTTGCAGCGACAAGTGCCAAGTTGTCATGGCTGGTGGGATATTCGACCATTCCTGGCCCAATACTTCACAGAGCCGATTCCGAGCCAAAACGCTACAATCGGATTCCGTACATCGACGGACCAAAATGAGTCGGCATCACCCCGCTCAAATTACCGCCAACCGTCCACAACAAAGGGGGCAAACACCCGCACAAAAACCGCACAAGTACTCAAATGCTTAAAACAAAACGCCTTGAGAACGCCTAGGAATTCCTCGCCCTTGGGTTTTGCAGGGAGCGTTCCTTCATAGCAGACATCGAGCCACAAGCCTGGACGGGGGAGCTGAGCCCCGACAGAACCGGTGATTCTTTTTTGGGGACTGTCTGAAGCTTGGCGGGGGGGGGCCCTCAAAATGCAACTGCTTGTAAGGGACCAAGTTTTGCGCTGATGGGGCACGAATACGCGTTGGACGACGCAAGTTTGTTACTCCCGCTACTCCCTTTGGTGGCTTTTTGGGAGATGTTTGTTGTGGCCGCCCGCCATTCTGCTCATGATTACTGGGTAAACGGGTAATTTTGAGGCGGTCTTGGGGTGCCCCCCACCCTCCCCCATTACAAACAATGGCAAGGCCCAATTTAGATTCAGATGATGAAGCTCGAGTAAGGAAAGGCGCACGGTTGCATTAACGCAACAACCCAACCATCGATTTACGTAATCTCAATGGCAGTCACGGATTCCCGGGTGCTTTTCGAGTTGGTGCCTCTGTTTAGGGGGAAACCAGGAGGACATCCAGTCAATTTTTGGGACCCCTATTTTTTTGACACAACGGAAGGTACCCCAGTAAAGCCCAGTACTGCTGACTTGCAGTGTGTGGACTGTTTTCTTGGCAGTGCAGATGTTGGTTGATCTTAGGTGGATATATTTTTTTGGCTGTTGGACGGTTCAAATGGTTGTATTCTTTCCATATATCTGCTTAAGCTTTCCCTTGGC